ATTTATAGAGGTTTTACTATAAGTAGCATCGGTTCAGAAAATTATTTATCGATTTCTTGTTTATTGAAGTGAGTACAACAAATACAGCAGTGGATTATTGGTAATTTAGGGTATCGATTTGGATTATTACAGCTTCGTTAATTTAAACAGAAAAGATTATTAAATAACTACGTTACATTATGTATCTGACTTTATTACTAAATCTAACTAATATTGATGCAATGTCTGATATACACGGAGGTAAGACAAGTTTTGGTTGAACCTGTTATTGTCTTAGGAGAATTTTGTCTGCTTGCCTAGCTACACACTTAATTAATCACATAAATTTTCATGAAGATGATTTAGACAAATTAAAATTGATGATCTATTTGTTGATCGCATAGAGGATTGCAATAATGATAATGACTATGAAAAATTTATTGAATATTTTCTTTTGAAATCACGGCATTAACCCAAAAATATGAGAGTGATGATTTTTCCAGATTTTTCGGAATTAATTTCTCTGATATTACAAGAACGATTTTACTAAAAAATTTTGGGATCGATTATATCATATTAGGATCATATGATGAAGTTATCTAAAATTTTGAGATTGACCTAATTTGATATGAAATAAAATTATTGACTCTTAATTAACGAATTAATTCTTTAAGATAAGGGTAAAAAAATTTCTTCTTTCTAGACATACGTACAAACAAACGAACAAAAGCAAAAGATAAACGAGAAACAATCAATTTTCTTACAGCTGACATATTTTATTGTATCTTGATTGTTTTTGTTGTTTTGCTCCTTGTTCGAAAACGCGGCCTCCACGGCCGCCTAAGCGCCAGTTAAGCGCTCGGCGGTAGGTAGCCGCCGGGATTTGTCCAAATCGGAGAACAACAATTTTTTGTAGTTTATGGTTAAATATTCCATGATACATGTCAGATCTATCATCACTACAAGACATACGGCAGTTGACGTCATTTTATTATGACTTTTACGTCGGTTACAAACTGACTTAAATCAAATAACAACAGTTTCATAATCGACGTAATAACCTTTGACGCTAACTATCTTCACATCAATTACAAAACCGACACATACTTTAACGACTAAATCTTTGCGTCGGTTTTATAGATTCTAACAACAGTTTCATGTGACTTAAAAGTTAAAAACTCTTTTCCTTTTTGCGTCAGTTATACTACCGACCTATATCTAATTTTTATTTTTTAATTATTTTATGCTATATATATATTACTCTAGTCAATTATGTACAATTTCAAATGATAATCTGTATAAAATCTCAATTAATAAAAAAAAATTATTTTTACATAGAATATAAATGTCAGAGAAACAGTATCATAGAATATAAATGACGTGTATATAAATTTGTCTTCATCACAAATTTATCTTGTCTTTAGCTCTCCATAGTTCTTAAATTGTTGCTTCTGTAATACACACTTCATCTTGCCTGAAATTAGATAATTTATAGGTAAGCTATTAAAATCATAGCTGAACGATCCTAACCATGAACCCAACAAACCACCTGAATCTTTGATAGGTTGTCCTTTTCTATTGAAGTCAACTATGACACGACGATTTTGCATGCTCCACACTTGCTTTCCTGAGACATTTTCTTCTGTAATTCTAAAAACCAGAATCAAGTTAATTATAAGAACATCCCATATATACAAGTAGTGTCTTACAAATGTATCATATACAAACCTCTAACATGAACTTTCCACTTCCCACTTGCTAATTCTGGTCCAAGAGGAGGTGGAGCAATGAGATTTTCCATCTGTAGAATTTAGACCTATAACATTAGAAACATAAGACGTTAGTAACGTTAGTATTAACTCAAACCAACGTGGAAAATTAAGTAGTGTCGTAAACGTACAAACTGTTTAAAATCCAGAACACTCAAGTGTCAACTTTAAAATCATACAAATTCAAACCAACGTTAAAATATAATGAACATACCTCCATAGTATCATCTAAATCATTTAGAGCATAAGAATTGTCAAGATCTTCCACTTGTCTCACTAATGTAATATTAGGTGCATTATCAGAAATCAACATCGAATTTTGAATATCAGAATCTTCGATGATGATATTTTGAGGATCTTGATCACCATCTTGATCACCCATATCATAAAAATCTCTTGGTTGGACTCGTACTACAATATTCCATCCTTCTTCTTGTGGATCTTCCACATAATAAACTCGACAGATTCTGTATTCACATTTGGTGTAGTCGTATACATACTTGGAAAGACATCACCAAGTAGATTCAAGATTGGATCTTCAGTCTGATCTATGCTAAGTTGATGATCTGAACTGACTGCTTGTTCTTGGCCGTCTAATTCCTCACCATGTAGATACCAATTTGTGTATGTGCTTAGAAATCCATGACACATCAAATCACCTTCAATGTCTACTCTAAGCTTGTTCTTGACAAGGCAGCAACGTTGACAAGGACATTTCAGCATGTCTACCTTTATTTTACTAAAGGCAAAATCCAAAAACTCTTTGACTCCGATTATGTAATCTTGAGACAATCGAGGTTTTGTTATCCACTACTTATCCATATCCATATTCATCTTAAAATTTCCTAGATAACAATGACCACTCCTCTTAAAATATTTCAGAGATTCAAGTTTAAGTTACCCATAAAACAAATAATACGTTTCTAAGATGCAGACATCTTAGTTTTCAAAACCAAAAGGAAACACAGAATCTTATAGTTTGCTAAAAAAAAAACATGAAATAACAGTACAAGGCTAGCTACTATAATCTCACACCAAGCAAGCATTAAAAAATGGGTAAAAAGAGAGATGACTGGATACTATAATCTCAAAAACTACAACCAAAATTCAAGTTTCAACACTGAGAAAATGGGAATTGCTTTACAGTAATAAGTACTTGAGAAAACCATTAAATTCTAACAATTCTCTGATGAACCAAATAACAATACAAGGCTAGCTACGACAACCAAAATTTCACATATCAAGTATTAACAAATCAAATTACAAAAATCTCACACCAATCAAGCATTAACAAATCAAATTTCATATAGCAATCAAAATTTCAAGATACAAAGCAAAACTAAGGTAGGGAACAGATTCAATACCTGATTGAAAATCGAATTAGAGTTTCGAGTCTCCTTCGTCACGGCGTTTGGTTCGAGTTAGAGCTTTGAATCTCCTTCTTCACGGCGTTTGGTTCGAGTTAGAGCTCTGAATCTCCTTCTTCACGGCGTTTGGTTCGAGTTAGAGCTCCGAGTCTCCTTCGTCACGATACTCTCTTCACCTCCGAGTCTCCTTCGTCACGATGTGGATAAATTTAGGTTATAATCAAGTAGCAAACCAAAATCGTAATCAACTTTTCAAAATTTCTACAGACAAACCTTTGAATCGAGCTTTGATGCGAGATCTCAAGAGAAAATAATCGTAATCAACATAATCAAACTCAGGGATCGAAGGAGACGAGTCAAAAAAATCGTAGTCAACATAGTTTCTAGAAGTATGTACTATTGGGCTTTTATGAAAATAAACTTGGGCTTTAGTAAAGTGATGAATTGGAATCGTAATAAATTTGGGCTTCAAAAACATTACGTCGGTTTACAAACTGACAGTATTTTCCTTTCTTTGCAAAATTTTAAAGTCGGTATACTAATTGACTTTAATATAATGACGTTAACGGGCTTGTTTCTTGTAGTGCATATTTGTGGAAAAACAAGAACAAAAATGAGTTAGAAATGATGCAAATGTATAAAAAAACGAGCAGCCGCCATTATTAGGGTTAGAAACTCGTCAAGGTATGTGAAGAAAACGATTGTAAAATGTCTGTTTTACCCTTCATTAAAAGAAGGGTTAAAAAAGAGAGCAAAAACGAGATTTGGGGACTCAAACTCAGGCGTACAAGTGCATTTAGCCTGCTGAAACCACTACACCAAGCCGAATTTATATTCTTTGTCAGCAAATAATTCATATATATCCACAAAACTAGATAAAAACCCTAAAACTAATTCCGATTAATTTCCGTGTAATATCCGATTAACCGATTAATCGCTAGGCCCAGCTCAAACGCTCGATTAACGCCTAGCGATTTTTTGAACAAGGGTTTTGCTATTCGCATTTATATACTAAAAAAAACTATTCCAATTTACATGGGCAAAATCGTAAACAATGTATACCATCCTAATTAATGTAGACAACAACGGCTTTTTGTGTGTTTAAGTTTACGTTTATGCATCTATTATTATTTTTGGGTTTATATTTTCTTCTTTGTCACGACTTTTAGTAATTTTTAAATATATGTTTCTAGAATAATGGCAACTTCCTACGTCACTATTCAAATTGTTGAACAAGTAATCTTCGAATCCGTATAGAAGCGACTTAGTCGTGGTCTATGTGTTGAAGTAACTATGTTTTAATAATGTTAATGTATATGATTCCATTTCCAACTTCCAAGTTATTTTTTTATGTCAAAGAACTTCCAAGTTATATTAAAACAAAATTTTCTCAAACTATTTTTGGTCTTAGCTCTCAAGAAAAGAGTACCTCGTCCGTTCGAATGATTTTAATTTCTTTTTTTTTACGCTTAAATGTTTAATTGTTTGAGCTGTGAGTCTTTAATACTTGAATCATATATTAGGACAACTGTTTTTTTTTTGGTCCGACAACAATACTTTAGAAAACAATCATTAGTAACAAATTTGTTTATTAATTATATAGTTCATCGTATTCATCGAGGATAAACACATGAATTCCGAAGCTAGATAATACATTCCATTACAGCTATAAAATAATGTTATAGTCTCTCTTATCTTCTATGTATTCTTGGTCGACGACTAAGACTTGTTTTTTTAAGAAGAAGAAGAATAGAAGACCAATCTCCATTTGTTTGACTTTAAAAGATTAAATATTCTTTTGTTATATATAAAAAAAAAACAATCTCCTTTTTCCGTGGGATTGACAATTTAAATATCTTACAAAAAAAAAGACAAACAAAATTAAAGAATTGCGTAAAATCTATTGCGTGTTTATGAACAAACAATGCAAAAAACATCACCAAACCAACTAAACCGGTAATCTAACGGAACCGCTAGCTGAACCAACTGTACCGGTATGTTGAACCGACGATGTTCCTTCACCGTCCTTATTGACTTCAACTCTCGGCGAAGGAACCGGCGTCGTATTCCTCCAGAGAAACGATGGGTTTCTAAGAAAAGCCCACCGGTCTGCTCGTACCGAGTCACCGGTCGGACTTGTTACTGAATTTCCTCTAACGCTACCGGTTCCACCTAGCCTAATCGAACCATCATCCCGGTTCCGCCACAGAAACGACGGAGTTTTACGGAATAACCACCGGTCCGATTTAGCCCTCGACCGGTCAACCGGTTTACCACTCCTCGAGCTTCCTCCTCTCGGTAGAACAAAAACACTATTCGACCGGTTCAATTTCCAATTCGTCAATATCTTCTTCCTTAATTCTTCCGGTACTCTAAGCGTAAACCGGTCGGTACTTTCTCCCGGTAAAACCACCGAATGACCCGTCGTATGCGACCTCGAGAATTTAACACGTGGTAGTTCCACCACCGGTTCAGGAGCCGCCGATTGCTGCTGCGCTTCAAGATCAATTTCCACCACCGCTTCCGGTTCAACCGGTTCAATCTTCTGTTCGGTGAGATTAGTACGACAAACCGGACAAGTCACGTGACCTTCAAGCCACGCGCCAATACAATGAGGATGAAACACGTGATCACATTTAGGCAACAATCGCAGCGTTTCATCGTCTTCAAACTCATTCAAACAAATCGCACACTCCAACGCTCCTTTACCAATCTTCTGAGTCTTCACTTCCGAGTAGACAAAAGTCGGAAACGTCTCGATAGTCTCCGCGTCTAACCCACGCGCCACCGTTGCGTTTGTTACTCTTCTCCTCGCTCCTCCTGTAGGAGTAACATTGCCGTCTACTACGCCAGTACAGTGGCGTATGTAGACGGTGAAGAAGCCCATAAAGAAGAGAGCTGCGATGACTACTACAACGACAACAGCCATAGCTGGACTAAGACTGCCGCTGTAAGCATATTCGTCATTTCTCGGGTTGGGGGATCCAGTCTGACCCTCCGACCCGGATAATAGTAGAAAGAAGAGAAGAACTAGTAAAGAGATTTGCTTTATGGGATCCATTGTTAGCTCTGGAATCCCAAAAAGTTAGTTTTTTTTTTTTGGGTTTAGTGTGACATGTAAAGAGAGAATAAGAATCTGAAGTTTATAGAGAGATATTTGAAAAGTTTGAAGAAGTCTTGGAGAAGAAGAAGCGAGGAAGTTAGGGGATATGTCATAAGCAAATGTGTTACTTATTGAATGCCACGTGGACGGACAGAATTTTCCAATTGGGGGAGGGAAGTGAAAAGTCAATATAGTTCGGTGACTTTCGAAGAAGTTGTTGACATAGTCTTAACTTAATTCATCATCGTATATGTATGAAAAGTATCTTTCTTTTTCCTACTTCTTAATATATTGAAAAGAGAAACAAAAAAAAACACATTATGAGACCAATGGTAATGCTTTGAGATAGTTTACAATACAAACTAAAATCAAATTCAAGATTAGAGGGAATAAGACCATGAATTAAAAACATGATAATGACATGTTTGATATGAAAGACAGAAATACATGAATAATCAAACTTAAAAAAAAAAAACATTTTTCTCTACTAATCTTTAGCCATCATTCATAGACGACTACTTTGATATTCATATTCTTCTAGAAAGTCTTTAGCCATCATAGGTCTATCGTGATCACTAACTTAATTAATTATAATTTCTTTGACTTGAAATTTGCAAATCCAATCCGTTGGGAATAAAAAATTGGCAATCTGCACAAAGACAAAATGATCTTGTAATTTTCAATTTTACCTTTCAACCTCGTGGAATCACACTATTTATTATATATATGTGCGGTCACTAACTCACTATAGTCCTAAAAGCAAATCAATTCATATCATCTTTAATTTAAATTAGCAAAAGTTTTATCTCCAACATGAACTATTTTTTTCTTTCTTTAATTTATGTCTTTTTAAGTTATTTTTTTGTTGTCACCTATTTTTAGTCGAAATAACATTTGAAAATGATATGGAAAGTGAAAACTAAGTTCTTTACTCACTAATAATATTATTTTCTTATACTCTTAATTAGTTTACTATAGTAGTCTAGTATTTTGTGTTTGCACTGTTGTTATATTATCATCACGATCGAAACTCGTATAATTCATATAAGAAAATGTTAATTGTGAGAAGTTAAGATTTATGTTTCTTTGAAACGATTAAGGACTTTATATACTACTAGAAAGTAAGAATTTAAGCAGCAAGCATTGCCATTATTGTGGGAGAAAAAGAGAAAAGTCAAACAAGAGAGGCTGACTTGACTTGGATTCGTGACCAACGGATTATTACATTGACCAATACCAGCAAATGAGAGTCTGGGAGATAAAAACGGCACGCACTTTCTATTCACAATCATAAAACACCACAGCTTTCCTCTGTATTACGTGCCGTTTTGTTCGTATGCCATGTTTTCTCTTAGAATCTCTGCAAACAAAAAAACATTTTGAGTACTTCTTTTCTGTTCAACAACATTTTGAGTACTTAATAAGTTAATATGAAAAAAAAAACATACAATGATGAAATCTGATTAAAGTTTTTAAAATGTTGAAAACTTTTAAAAATGAATCTGATTAAAGTTTGCCAATCTCATCTGCATTTGGCATAAGCTAGTGATCATACCCAAGAATCTAGATGAACACATTTAGCAAGGTACCTTTCGTGTTCTACGACCAAACACATGGTTCAAGGTTCTTGGTAAGTAGGTATTGGGACGCCTGAACCATCCGTCAGTTTCTTGTAAGCACTTTGCAGTCTTCTTGTTACCGGTCCTACTTTTCCTTCACCGATCACACGCCCATCGATTTTCACAACCTAAAACCAATAAACTCGATAAATACGCGACATGGAACCAACCAGAAAGTGTTTCACAAGAAGGAAATTCACTCAAAACATTGACATTTTCATATTCCGTGATTTTAAAATAGAGATTGTGCATGTACCGGGCTGAGTTCTCCCATAGTTCCTGTAGTCCATACCTAGAAAAATTTGATATGGATTGATAATACTTAGTTAGTGATCATTTGAGATTCTATGACTAGGGAAAAGATTAGCAAACCTCATCAGCTGTATGGAATTCCGACAAGCTAATTCTACGTTCTTCTAAGATGAAGTTCTCTTTCACCACCAGTTCCATGACCTGGTCATGGATGAGAAAATAAGATTGGTCATGTTAAAGTCACTGAGATATGTTTGAAGAAAGAATATGAATCTTCTTCTCTCTTACAGTAGCTCGGGTAATGCCCGGGAGACAGTAATCTGCGTGAGGAGTGAGTACTCGGTCTTTCTTTACCATGAACTGCACCAACAGAGTTCCTCCACCATGTTAGTTTCCAAACGCTACATAGAAATTTAGTACGCTTATTTGGAGAGTAAAACTGTTAAATCCGAGGATCTCACAATGTTGGTTGCATTGGTTTCAGACACAAAGCCATCCTTGTCAAGCATGATTGCATCATCGACATTGGCATTGTTGCTTTCAATCTGTGTCATTAGAGAAAAAAACATCTCACAATGATGTCCCTATAAACACATGATCACTGATTCACCTCGATGCCAGGTAAAAGATGGTACCTTTGCAAGTATGTTATTGAGGAGGTTGTTGTGATGAATCTTGGAATCTAAACTCTAAAAAAAAGAAAAGAAAAAGAGATAAAACAACAATGAACAATAACACTTTTGAGTAAATGTGTTTCTCAACTAAAAATTAATGCAAGACAATGAGACCAATTTTATACATTGGGTGAATTGCGGCGTGTAGTTGCAGTCACTAGCAAAATTCCGCCATCATTGTCATATACTGGAGGCTTCCATTCGGCAAGCACTACATTATTTTGAAAACTCAAAAATAAATTTCCATAGAGTTTAGTTGAATCCTTGCAAGAGACAAATCTGAAACTTTACCGATCAAAGTACATCCATAACGGTTAAATGCAGGGCTCATTCCAGAAGTGACCTTGAGAAAAATTCATAGGTTGTTTAAGTGTAAAATGATTGCAATGAAAACAGAAAGAAGAATCTCTTTTGCATATAATTTACTTAGAACTTGGTCAAAGTGTAATAATACCTTTTTGCCTCGAGTTAGAGACAGTCTTATATGTGTATTGTCAAACATCCCATTGGTTATGAGAGTTCTGAAGATGGCTTCTTTTATCTGTGCATTTTCCATTGTGATATCTTCATTCAAAACCCAAAATTCAAAACTATGACAATGATTTTTTATCCTCATCAAATACTTACCTCCTCGCGGGTTGGGACATTGTTGAAAGCCAGAGCCTTTGCTGAATCAGACAACCTATATGCAACAACACTTCAACATATTAATAAGAATGCTTCGAAGAGTGCTCGGTTTTTTTCCTCTTACTTGCTTCTTACCGGTCTAGATGTTCTTCAAGCTTGAATACTTTCCCTTTGTATATTCGAAGACCTTCCCATACAGAGTCACCGCCTTGCACGACCGAGTCAAAAACAGAAACCTTTAAAAAGAATAAAGAAATATTACATCAGAACATACACATAAACAAGCAATAACAAACAGAGATCCATGTATGGTTCAAGCACCTTTGCCATCTCACGTGGCACAATCTCATCACCAACCCAAGCAAGAAGTTTAGCATTTTCAGGAACCGGGAGACTGGGAGGAGATACGGTGCTGGTCAGAAGAGATGACTTTTGCTTCACGTGGCGCCTGAGAATGTTGTAAAGCGGTAAACATTGCTCCAGCAAATCGTAATGCATTAATGGGAAAGTCTGAAAGCAAAACAAAACACATTGTAGTTTGAATGATGTCTAAGTTCCAGAATCTTTAATTGCAGTAAAACCAGGCCATGTACCGGAGGGTACTTCTTCGGAGACGAGAACCCCATTGATTTGTGAAGAGTCTTGTACCACCATGGAGCCCAAAGTCCATCTTCTGGTATAGGACCAGCCTTCCATCTTTAAGAAAACACAAACAATAAAAATACCGTCATTGCTTTTGCCATTAACCGTCAAATCCAAGAGATCCCTAGAAGAGCATAGAGGGTCTACTTAAGCATAGAGGCTTGAAACGGGATCTCTAAGTCATCGCAAAGACTGCGTAGTGTAGCCTGAAATTAGAAGAATGACACAGAACATAAGCATCTTCTTACATAAAAGAATGGAGTTCATTGTCAAAATTTCATAATACAGCAATGAAACCTCGGGATCTCGCTGAAGCTCATCTGCATCGATGATTGCTGGTGGTGTTCCCATCTGACAGAGATCACTGTATATCGATACTAACTCTCCCAATCCCAATTCGTGAAACGATGAAGGGTGTACCTTCTCAAAAGAAGGCTGCAAGAAAAGACAAACAAACAAAAGCAAAGAAAAGAAACATCTCAAAACTGAAAGAATCAGTCTCATAAAGCCAAGACAAAACCAATTCAGAAGAATCTCCAAGTAAACATAACACCAGAAGTGAGTTTGAGAAGCTTACCAATATGTTAAGGGGATTGCGTATCAATATAAAGTGCTTCCCTTTACTCATTAGTTCACTTGGCAAACCAAGAAGTCGCTGTTTGGATATATGCTGTGCAGAGAAGGACCAGAAACACAATCTTATGTCAAACACATAGAAAGAAATTGAAGTCTCTAAATCAGAAAGAGAAGAGAGTATAACCTTACAAAACCTATATTTCTTCTTTCCTGGACCATAAATGATATCATTCACCACCTTTTCTCCATCACACTCCTATTAGAAAACGAAACAATTATACCATTTCTCCTCCTCTATGCCTAAATTGATAACTGTAAATTGACAATACCATTTTAGAGAGAAGCTCATCTCTGTATGGCCTATCAACACCCGTAGACTTGAGGAACGCAGCGTATAATGGCTCGTCGAGCACTTCAATGTCATCTCTCTGAAGATATTCAAACCAAAGCATCTTGCATGTTACATCTAACATCTCACACCAAACATAGTTTCACAGTGACTAGCAAATGTCGAAACTTTTATTCAGAACTGTTAAACATTGAGGACACAGATGTTTTGAAGCCAAGAAGAAGAATTAAAACCAAAAGTTTGATCCTTTTTTTTTTCTCTCATATAATCAATCCACAGAAGATGGGACTCAAACAAAATTTAGATCACCAATGAATTTTCTATCATAAAACAGTACCTCGGCAAATCTGTTCCATTTCCAGGGAGTATCTCTGAATAAAGTAAGAAAAAAGAGTACCTGGGCAAAGGAGTACAAGAGAGTGGTGCTGAGTGATCTTGGAGCAGACCATGCGTGAATCACCTCCATTAAAGACGATCGCTTTGAGACCAAACAGACGCTTCAACTAAACTATTATTGTCTTTGTCCGTGTTTCTCTTTATAAACAAGATTCAGACGGAGAATCTTGGACTCATGTAAAAAGATCAAATTTTTATTTTTTACAGTTTTGGGAAAGAATATGATAAGTTTCCAAAAGAGTTTGATTGATGTTTTTTGATTAGCTTAATCTTCACAAGCATCTTATCTTATCTCTTGCCACATCGAAGTTGGTGAGTGATAATGTATTTATTTGCACTCATAGAGATTCTCCAGTTTCTCTGTAAAACCATAAATCAAATAATTTATATCGACAGTGAGATCAGATCACTGTCACTGAACAGGAGTAAGATATTAGAACCGGTGCGTTTATGGCGGTCACTACTGGCGTTTTGTAGCAACCAGTGATAGCGTTTAGCGGTTGTATTGTGAGCCCTTTATCTAAGATCAACATTCACATTTCTGCAAACACATGAAACGCTAATAACAGCGATTTCGACCACCAAACCTTCGACCTGACCAACCAACTACCATCTTGGAAAATGTTTCGATTAACGGTCTTAGAATCTTTGATTTCGATTGTAAAGAAACTAAAGTGCTTCTGAAAGAATTACATTATCTGGAGGATATGGAAAAGAGCCGAACGCTTGAGCGGTCATATGAATGCATATATGGTAAAAGCTCGAAGGGAGGCCTAAGTTCTGTGGTCACGTCTGTGATGGAAAGGTCCATTTGGTCTACAAGTGTCAAGAACACATTAAAAGTGTCTGCATTGCGAATTACAGATGCGATATAAGCCACCTTGGGGCTGTGTCCTTGTGGTGTCGTGTCACTGTCTTCAGTCTCAAGAGAGCCATTGTCTCTTTTGGGTGGTTTACTTAGAAGGGCTACTAGAACCCGAAGTAGATGAGGGAGACATGACGGGTCATAGATTACATCTGCGCCTAGACTGATAAGAGTGTAAGAGTTAGTGACATAAGCAACATCTTCTACTACATAATTCTCGATTTTTACTCACATAATATCTGGACGATATTCACTCAGTTCACTTTCCGATGCAGTTTCCCACGGAAGATGAATGCATTTAACTTGCTGTTAAAGGAAAAGGAATGGATCTTGAATCGGTTAAGTCTATCATATATACTCTGAATCAGAAAGCACCAAGAAACTTTTTGCTACTTACTGTACTCTGAGCTTCTCCAGGTTGTTTGAGCAACTCGTCATCATAGTTTAAGTGATTCCTCTCCAAATTAAGCTTCATGTTAGACAGAGTTAAGAGATCTCCATCTGTTAGTATCACCTACGTAAGAAAAACTTGTGACTCACCATAGCTTTGTAAATATAACCAGAACTTTGGTAATAAGCAATTAAATTAAGAGATACCTTTTTGGCCTTCACATGTGCAAGGCAAATTCCGACCATGCCAACTCCGGAACCAACCTAAAACGGGGTTCCATCGAATCATGAAATGAACATAATAGATCAGAACGTAAACCTCATTGGTCAATAAACTATATGATGTCAAACTAACCTCAAAACAGGATTTATTGGAGAATAACTCTGGATTTGACAGAACAAACTCTGACAGAAACAGACTTGACGGCCAGATGGAACACCTGCTTGAAACCAACTATCGAAGGTGAGCTACGTAGATTGAGACTCGTGCATTGAAATAAATCTGTGGAAGTCAAATGATCATAAAAAAAGACTCCTACCCAGTATCTCCTTCAAGCATGTTCAACGAACATTGCAGCGGAATAACTAATTTCCTCGACCTTGGACAACTTGGGTGTTTGTACGAACCTAATCCACAGAATAAGTCAGCAAAACACATCTCAATAGTAACTACAAACAATGAACAAAACACAAAGCAAAGACATATAATTTTACCTTCGCGGAATAGAAAAGAGATGAATTTGGTAATCCTTATGTTATCTTTCACCAATATATCTTCCTAAAGCACCAAACCAAACTTAGTTTTGTTTTCCATCAATTACAAGAAAACTTAAAATAACAAAGAAAAAAGTACACCTTAAAAGTTAACATGTAAAGGGCATACTCTTCATATACTTCATCCAATACTTCACCATTCTCTAACTCAACTTCATTTATGAGTTTCTTCAGTAACTTCTTCGCATATGTTGCGTTACCATTCGCAGCCTGAACGATTTTAACAGTAAATTTATATATTATTACAACTCAAGATTCATTTTTTTCCAGAGCAAACTAATTTGGCAAACACTAACAAGTCTCAAATCAATAACTTGACTACAAGAAGCTTAACAAAGTCATAAAGGTTCCAAATTTCTCTTGAGTTTTCAGAAGAGTAGAATTTTACTTACAGCTTTAACACAAATTTCCCAGAAAAATCTCTGGGCGTTCTCAGTAATTGATCCTCCATTACACCCTCTACACAAAAAGACAAACAGAAGCAAAATCAAACGCCGGAGCTAATGGAACAAAGAAGCTAGCGGCGGTAGTTTACCTAGCGAGAGAAATGACGGAGTCCACCGGTTCCATGGCGAGGAAAGCAGAGAGTACATGAAGGTACTGTGATTCTGCCTCCGTCTCCGCCACCATGACTTCGCCGTGTCAAGCTCCGAGGATCACTAGCCACATCAAAGCATAGAATTTATAAACGTTGGGCCTAATGGGCCCTAAAAGGCCCAAAATGATTGGGTCCATAAAATAGACAATGACTAATTAACCCTTAGAAAAACTACGAAACTTCTAAAGTACCCCTCACCTTGAACCATCCTTTTGTCTTCTAAAAACTTCAGAGAATCTCCACACTTCTTATCCACTAGAAGCCATGAAGTCTTCTTCTATCTTCTTCTTCTTCCTCTTCTCATGGCAATTCTACTTCACTCTCTCTCTCTTCATCCACCAAACCCTAAACCTCAAAACCCTAATAAACCCAAAATTCTCTCTCCTTCTGCAACTTTTCGTAGAGATGTGGTGCTTAGAACAGCATCTCTCTGTTTCGTCTCTTTCATCATTCAAAACCCAATTCAAGAGTCATTAGCCGATCCTTTGAAGTCTTCCAAACCGTTAAGACTCGGCATTGCGAACACTAAGTCTTGGTTCCAGTTCTTTGGTGATGGGTTCGCTATTAGGGTTCCTCCTGACTTTGAAGACGTCAATGAGCCTGAGGTGTGTGTAACTCTGTGACCAATATCTTATGAATGCGAATCACTGAGTGATAAAATGATGCAAAGACTGCTCCTTTGGTTAAAGTTGTAGACTTTTTAGTGATCAATGTATTTAGCTGCCAAGCTAGGTCTGAATCAATGGTTGTTCTAGTCAATTTGATTTTGGGGTTTAAGATTTACTGTTACATTGTGTTCTATGTTTCACTATCTGAAATATATGTATTAACCTAAGCCTGAATGCAAAAACTGGTTCTACTCCTTTTTTTGGGATGAAATGATCATTGTTCTTGATAGTGTATGTTACTATGTTTACTTCATGAACTAGGATTACTCTGCGGGATTGTCTCTCTATGGGGACAAGGCAAAGCCCCAAACTTTCGCCGCCCGGTTCCAAACTCCTGATGGGTATCGTTTGTTCCTCTTCCTTCGTTGGATTTCCATTAGGACTTGTGTGATAAATCATTTGTGGATGCAGATCAGAAGTTTTGAGTGTAGTCATTCGCCCTTCAAATCAACTTAAGATCACTTTCTTAGAGGTTTGCACAACAAATTTCCTTTACGAGTCTTACATTTCTTGAATCTTCAGTTGAGAGGTTTACTTGTCCGGTAAGTGCTCATGGAATGATCTATGATTCAAATAGGCTAAAGATATATCCGATTTGGGTTCATTAAAGGCAGCTGCAAGACTCTTTGTTCCAGGTTCTCTAAATTATACGCATATTTGAAAATCGCTTAGAATCTTGCCTTAGAAATCCTATTAATTTTCTGGTCATTGTTAAATTATTTAACCATGAGCAGGTGCCGCGACTATTTACTCTGCTCGTACAATCAAGGTAAAGGAAGAAGAAGGTTTAAGGCAAGTCTGCTTCGAACTATAATCCCATCAGTTTGGGAATTTGTGTTCTTGATTGGAAAATTTGATGTTCTTGTTATTTTTCTATCCGCAGAAATTACTACTTCTACGAGTTTGGTAGAGATGAAGAACGCATAGCTCTAGTAGCCTCTGTGAACAGAGGGAAGGTCTCTGCTGCAAACACATATTTGATTACTCTTTGACATTCATATTTCCAGATTCATTACTCACTCTATATGTTTCTTTCTTAATCTTGAAAAGGTTTATATCGCTGGAGCAGCTGCACCGGAATCCAAATGGAAAGACGATGAGTTGAAGCTTCGATCTGCTGCCATTTCTTTCACAATCTTATAATGAAAAGCGCTCTTCTTCTTCTAACAGAACATGCGAAAAGCGCTCTCTAGTCGACTCAGAAATGTGGAACTAAGAACAAATCGGCCAAATGCGATAACGGGACATTGTTTTGAGACACATTTTTCCATTCATTTTTGTTATCTGTTTTTTTTGGTGATGTAATATGTTCATTGATGTTCTGTATTATGAGAAAACAAATCAAGATTCTTTGTACCGCGATGTCCCTAGAACGTAATTTTACTGATTATGCCGTCCGCAGTTGCGGTTTGGTCATCAAAATCTGTGATTTTTTGCGGCTGTGTTGTTGAAACCAGCCAATCGTTAAAAACGTGCGTTTGCGTTTCCGAAACATGCGTCCACGTTTTCAGTCTAGAAGAGAGGCACATCGAGATACAGTGCTCCGCGATGTAGTCAAGCTGTTCCGTCTTAAACCCTTCCGATTGAACAGTCGAACTAGCACAGACAGAGATCTTTCAATGGAATTCGAGATCAATGAAAGTTAGGGTTTTTCTTTGAGATTTCTTCACACTAATCAAAATGGCGCTCGTAAGAAGATTTCAAGCAGTTCGTTCTTTGTTGAAAACAGCTGGATCAAGAGAATCTTCTTCTCTTCCGTAAGCAAATTTCCTAACTTTGATTCTTCTTCCATCGATTTCGTTTTTGGAAAATGCGTGAAATTGAACTCTGAATCTTTATCCATTACCAAAAGTTTCAATTTTTAGCTTCTTCATCATTGGTTTTCAGATTTCGGAGTGGAAATGAGTTCTCTTTGATTCAAATTGGAGATGATTTCAGATTTGGGTGTTGGAGAAGCTATCATTCTTCTCTTTGTCACGGTAAATTTCTCAATTCTCAGTGAATTGATAGTTTTGGAGTAATTTAGTAATGTAATTGACATTTCCAGTTCCTGAAGCTTTTGGAAAAAGTGTGTATTCACGTTTATATCAAGGCCACAACGCCAACACACATTTGCTTCGATCTACAATGGTAAAATCACCAGATTCATCATTAGGTGTTAAAATCACTGATCTTTGGTTTGATTCATATGTTCATTGTTTGTGTTGTTTATCAGATTGCAGAGTCTTTGCCGTTTACGAACGAAAAAAGGTCTGCTGCAACGCAAGTAAAGGCACCACCTCAGCTACAGAAAACGGTGTGTCAAGTGTCTCAACCCCGATTGCTTTTTTCTCACATTTTTGTTTTGGTTTTTGATGTCATTGATATATAGATATCTTGCTTCCTATGGTTTTGATTGTCTCACATCAGTATTTATGAATGCAGGGTGCCGTTAGAGTGTCGATGGTAAGTCCTGGATTTGTATATGAACCCTATGCACTCCAGGAGAAAATTTCGATTTGGCGGAGGTAATTTGGATAAGGTTTCTTATTCTGCTTTTCTTCACGGTTAATCATTTTAGGAAGTTCTGAGTATAAGCTACAATATCATTGTTCTACTAGAGTTGAGTTTTTAATTATTTTATTAATTGCCTCTGCTGTTTTCTGTCAATTGTATTTCAGATGTTTTACAAGAAGTGGTTGGCGAAGAACGAAAGAGGATTTTATACGGGAGGTAGAAACATATTCACGCATTATCTAGACTAGAATATATATATTTTGCAGATGTCTTAATACATGTGAAAACTCAAAATTTCAGCTAAGAAGTGCCTACGCTATTGCTAAGTTAAGAAAGACTGGGTATTCAAAGAATACGTTCTACATAGAAGCACTAGAGTTATACAAACAGGTATTACTTATACACCTTTTGTTTTTTTTGTTTTCTTGTTTAGTCGCATAGTAGAATGTTTTATAATCATCTTGACTTAGCTACTCGGGTTTCCTTCAGATTAACATTCTCATGGCCAATGGTGACAAGAAGACTATAAGGAAGAATGTAACTGAAAGAATGTATTCTGTAAGGTTTCCACCATATTGATTAATCGTTTTTTTCATATATGAAACTTGAGGATGATATGATCTTCTGTATTGTTAAATTTTGGTTTATTTTTCACTATTAGGCACTGAAGAACGAAATTAAACAAAGAGAAGCCATGTGGGATGGTGTTTACTGGGAAATGATTGAGCCGGTTGTCAAGATCCGAACTTTACAAGCTCGACTGGCAAGTTCTTTTAACAGCTTGATTTATTTTACATACTGAGAGTTATGGTCTGAAGCAACGAATGATAAAAGATTCCCCCTGCTAGTGGATTTTCAAACTCACCCTATTCTTTTCATCCTTTTGACGACTTCGCAGATCGGAATTGACCGGACAGACCTTAAGAAAGCATTCATACAACTGACACTAGAGTTTCTGACAAAGCAGGTCAGTGTTATCTTAAGTCATCATTTTGTTTCTCGTGCATTGGGGGTTGTAATGAGTTCTTGAGATCTTTTCTATCTTCAGAAATTCGAAGCTTACGATGCAAAAGGCAATGTAGTAGCTGGAGACAAGAACAAAGAGGTGAAGTAAAGTTTAATCATTGCTTTTCGATGATTGTTTCTAGACTGCAACCAATTGGTAAACAATGCATCGAAAAAAATAGACTAGATCCACATGAACCTCCTGAGAATATCCATAAAAAAAAAACACAATATTTGGCCTGGATCGATGAAAAATCTGATTCAACTTACTAGGAATCGATTTGGAAAATCGGAGAAGTTCTTTTACCTACAAGCGAGTTACAAGTTTGTTGCTTGTGCAGGTGCTTGTACGTGACATATGGGTCTTTGAGAAGTCTCTTTTCCATACAGGAGCTTACTGGCGGCTCTGTGGCCGGATCAAATTATGAAGTTTTGCAACATTGTGGACAAAGAGTGTCAACAGTTTCAGACAGAATAAATCCAACATGTTCCTGGTTTTTGCTGAGTCAGTATTCTCCTTTACGGTTGGCTTTCTTCTATTTTTCTCTTACAATTCAAGCCTGAATGTTAGTACCTGATTAGGTTCCTAGAGAAACCTACTTTGCTATTTTGCGAGGTAAATCATCGATACGAGCAAAGATCAGAAAATATGTGTTGGGTAGTCTCTTTGTAAACCTCATTGGAACCATTTTTGTTTTTGTTTTTGTTTTTGTTGTGGTTCATTAACAGAGACTGGTTTTGTTGCTTCTGTCACTTTTTTTTGTTCTCTTCTTCCTTTTAAATTATTGGTGGAGTATTAATGAATGATTCATGTAACTAGTGAAAGTAAAAGACCTTTGAGAGGATAAGAGTTGTGTTGTGTTGAAGGAAAAAAGAGATTTTGTTTTTCTTGTTTCGATAATTGACAAGTTATATCCTCAAACTCAATTTGTACACTCCGACCAAAAAAAAAAAAACTCAATTTGTACACAAGAGGTCATCCTACAGAGTACAGGTAAGAAGACAAGTTTCAACTACTTACCAACTACTCTTCAGGAAAAAAAACAAAATGTTTTAAATGTGGCCAAAACAATACTTTAGTTTAAGAGATTGCAGATGGGTAACAGAAAAAACATTGAATATTCATAAAGAGATGTTGGGTAACAAAAAAAGTTTTTGAACTTTCTTTAAGTGGACAGTGTTCAAAGAGCATCTTTTTTTTTTTTGTTTAAACGTGATTTTTTTTTCTTATAAATATTTAGTACTTGTTTATTAAGGAGTTAATTAGCTAAATATAAATATTTCAATCATGATAGCTCACAGTTTTTTTCAGATTTTTTATTTTTATTTATTTAATTTCCTTTGTAACATTTATTTACTTATATTATCTTTTCTGTTTCTATTATCTTTATTTTTAATACTAGGACTCAAGACCCCCGCGATGTCGCGGGGAAATATATTTCAAAAATCGTTTAAAAAATATCAAACGAAAAATCATAATGAATTGTAATAATTTTGATTTTTTTAAATATCAAATCAATATATATTTTACAAAAATTATGATAAAGAAAACCCTCACAAGCATTTATTAATTTTATGAATATTAGAAAACATTAATTTGTAACTAAAAAACTATTCTCAAATGCAAAAAGCATTAAATAATAAACCAAAGGTTACAACGGTTTGATAAATAAACCAAAATATTCAACGTCAAATAAACCAAATGCTACTATGTTAAATTAAACGGTGACAATAATTTATTTAAATATATTTTAGTAATTAAATATTTTTTACAAAATATGACAAACTTTAACCGAGAGACGTGACCGTAGATATCAAATATACCAAAAGCTGTAACGGTTCGTCAAATATAAAAAATATTGCAATGGTTCATCAAATATACTAAAGATTACAATGGCTTGTAAAACAAAACCAAAAGTTGCAATGATTCGTCAAATAATCCAAATATTGCAACAGTTCAATTAAATAGTTACAATCTCATTAAATACATTTTAATAATTAAAAATTAAGAACTAAAAATAATAATTTATGAAAGGTTACACCGATGGTAGATGATTAAATATTATGAAGATTTATAAAATAAACTTAAAGTTGCAATTGTTCATGAAATAAACTAAATGTTGCAATGGTTCTACTAAATAAGGATAGGTTTTGCCTATTATCATCGTAGAACAAATAATCGTTGTAGCAGGACAAAAAATTGGAGTTTCGAAAAGAAAGACAATATATAGAGTTGAAAAGGCACGATTTTACAACTATTCGATAAGTCCATTACGTAGACGAACGTGTCCGTTACAGCTTTAATGTGTAGGACTCATTTCACTCACGTATGTCCAAAATTATTTAAACCTCTATATTATTGTTTTCCCATGATATCACGTTAAATAAATCATATAATTAAGAAGGTTATACTATTAAATATATCTATATGTAAACTATGAAAGAAAACCAATTTTATATGTAGTTTATTGGTTTACGTAAAAAGAAATTCAATAAAACAACATAACCGTACAAAAATAACTGTAAGAAAAACAACTATAAATATTTAAACGAAAGGTTGCAAGAAAAAGACGCAACTGTTCAGATGTACAAATGGTATTTATTGGAAACGACGTAGCCATAAAAAAATAACCGATTAAAATGAAAATTACGATAAAAAGACGCAACCAAAATAACCGTAAAAAAATAACCGATTTAAACGAAAGGTTGCGATAAAAAGACGCAACCGTTCAGATGTGCAAATGGTATTTATTAGATTGCTATTATATATAGATTATAAAACCAATAACCAAACACATATTGAATATTTTGAATGTACTTACCATAAATATATATTTCAAAATTTTAATATTTTTTTATAAATATTTCTTATGTATTATATTGATTGAGTTTTGAAATTGAAAAATAATTCTTTCCTAATTCTTTTAGACATCATTCTTTTCCAAATTATAAAAAACTGAAACTTATAAAGCATAAAAATTAAACTATACAACCTAAAATTTATAAGATTATTCTCCTATAAATAAATAAAAAATTATCGTATGACATTCAACACAATTATCATTTTTCTTATTATTTTTAAAACCGAACATTACAATTATTTCAAGACAAAACAACGATATTTTATCAAAAATATATATTAATATAAATACGAATTAACTTATCAAATATATATATATATATATACTTTTTACAGTAAATAAAATTATTCGTAATAATTAAATAGAATAAAATTCGAACTTGTTTACTTAATATCAATATTTGTTTTTGTTCTATAGTTTGAGGATTAAAAAAAAAGAAAACAAATCGTAGCGATCTTCTTGATCCAAAATAAAAGAAAAACAAATCGTAGCGATCTTTGTTTGACTGCGAATGGGCTGTGGGAGCAGCAGTGTCTGCTCTTCTCTCTCTTACTCTTCTTCTTCCACTTGCTTTGCCTCTCTTTTCTCTATTTCTTCTCCTTCTTCTCCTTCATCTTCTTCCCTGAAACTCAATCCAAGACGCTTCCTTTTCCATAACCCTAAAAATCTGAGAAAGCAGGCACCTTTGAGGTGTGGGAGATCCCTGGAGATGGAATCAAAGAAACCCATTTTCGATGTGGAAACGTTTGATGATGATTTTGTTCAGAAACTGGTTTATGATGCTCTCGTTTGGTCTTCTCTTCACGGACTCGTCGTCGGTGACAAAACTTACCAGGTTTTTTAGTTACTTGCCCCACTAAAGTTCCTGTCTTTTGATCTTGTGTTCTGATAAAATTGGAGAAAAATTCGAAATTGATGATCTGTATGAATCGTGTATAGCTGAATTGTGTTAGTTTCATGGTCTTAGCTTTCGATGCCATACTTGATCTGAATCAAACTTATATATATCACTTGTTATGGATGGATTGGTTTTGATGAGAATATTATGATTACAGAAATCAGGAAATGTTCCAGGGGTTGGATTGATGCACGCACCGATTGCATTGCTACCAACTGCATTCCCTGAAATTTGTTGGAAGCAAGCTTGTGATGTTACTCCTATTTTCAATGAATTGATTGATCGTGTTAGCTTGGATGGGAAGTTCTTACAGGATAGTCTCTCTAGGTTCGTTTTTCTTTAAGTCTTTATCTCGGTATCTATCGGAATCTATCTATCTGCTTTGGATTATAACAAGCAATGCTCTTTTATTGATTTTCTATGTTCTAGAACGAAAAAAGCTGACGTCTTTACATCTAGACTTCTCGACATTCACTCCAAGATGCTTGAAAGAAACAAGAAAGAGGTATATTAGGTTATCTCTGGTTTCATGTTAAGCTCGATTCTTCGGTTTGTGGATGTTATTCATTTGGCTTTGTTTGTGATTGCAGGATATTCGTCTTGGTTTACACCGGTTTGATTATATGCTTGACGAAGAAACAAATTCACTTCTTCAGATTGAGATGAACACTATCTCGTGTTCGTTTCCAGGCCTTAGTCGTCTTGTTAGCCAGCTACACCAGTATACCATCTTCTGCATAACCTGTTGTGTTTTTTTTTTTCTGCATTATACAGCGGAATTTTAGCTAAAAAGCTTTACTTTTTACTTATTCCTCTTGTTTGCAGGTCATTGCTTCGATCTTATGGGGATCAGATTGGCATAGACTCTGAACGTGTACCTAGAAATACATCTACAATCCAATTTGCTGATGCAATAGCTAAAGCTTGGTTGGAGTACAATAACCCAAGGTTAGCCTTAAACAAAAATTGCGTTCTTAAGTGTGGTAAAAATACTAGAATCAAGAATCCAATTTGCTGATGTAATTCAAAGGTTTTTTGTTTAAAGCTAGAGTTTTTCTTGGTTTCAGAGCGGTTGTCATGGTAATTGTACAGCCAGAAGAACGCAACATGTACGATCAACATTTGCTGAGCAGTATATTGAGAGAAAAATATCCTCTTTTTATCTTGTTTCTTTGGTTTCTAGGGGCCGAACTTGACTTTTTATCCTATATTGGTACCAAACAAAGGGTTGTTGTTCTTCCTTAGCTTCAGAACACGCACAATATAGTAGCCATCAGGAAGACTCTAGCAGAAGTCGAAGCTGAAGGGAGTGTACAAGAGGATGGAACCCTTATTGTGTGAGCATTTGTTTGCGTTGTGGTTTTTGAGAACTTACACAGTCATCTTGAAAGCTATGTTAAGAGTTTTCGTTGTTGCAGTGGCGGCCAAGCGGTCGCGGTGGTTTATTTCAGATCTGGCTATACTCCCAATGATCATCCGACTGAATCAGTAAGTAGCCGCCAACTTCTTAATATTGTGGCTTTACTCTTTGAGAATATCGGAATCATATCCTTGGTTTATTTGTTTCAATTCAAAGGAATGGAATGCTAGGCTGCTTATTGAGGAGTCTTCAGCGGTCAAATGCCCGAGTATAGCTTACCATTTAACTGGCAGCAAGAAAATCCAGCAAGAACTGGCAAAACCAGGTGTTCTCGAGAGGTAAATGGATCGCCATTTTTCTTTTAGAGAGGCTGAAAGTGAAGACGGTTTCCAAATATCTCAAAGGCCATAACTTTTTTTAACTTTAAACATGAGAAACAGGTTTCTGGACAACAAAGAGGACATTGCTAAGATGAGGAAATGCTTTGCGGGGCTTTGGAGCTTGGATGACCCAGAAATCGTCAAGCAGGCAATCGAAAAACCCGGATTGTTCGTTATGAAGCCTCAGAGAGAAGGCGGAGGTTAGAACCCAATTGAGTCCCCCTAACGCTTCAACTTTTCTGGTCATATTCTAAGCGTATCCTCTTGGATTCTTCCAGGAAACAACATCTATGGAGATGATGTGAGGGAAAATCTTTTGAGACTGCAGAAAGAAGGAGAGGACGGAAACGCTGCGTATATCCTGATGCAGAGGATATTCCCAAAGGTCTCAAACATGTTCTTGGTGCGAGAAGGCGTTTACCATAAAAATCAAGTTATATCAGAACTAGGTGTCTATGGTGCTTACCTCAGGTACAGAGCAGAAAGAAGAAGAATTTGGTATGCTTCATTCATCCTCTACTTAATTTTGTGCCATAATCTTTGATTAAATGAAATGTGTAGGAACAAAGACAACGTTATAGTTAACGAGCAGAGTGGTTATCTAATGCGCACGAAGATCGCATCATCAGATGAAGGCGGCGTTGCAGCTGGTTTTGGAGTATTGGACAGCATTTATCTGAATTGAGATGGATCACATTCACAACCATCCTGATCAATATTTCTGCTGGTTTGTTCCTTGTTCTTCTTCTTGCTGGTTAAAGATTTGTGTATTAATTCATGAAGATCAATAAGACTAGGCAAAGCTCTTACAATTCTTTCCATAGGACCGCAAAGCATACATTGCTTATTGTTATTTTAGACCGTGTGAGACGATCACTCGTTTAAGATCATGAATGGAATAAGAGATCAATCATGGAATCTGGGGTATAGCAACATATCCAACATATTTATTCGTTATTAACACTTACTTCAAAGTGGTGGTTTAGACCATATAGGTACATATATACACAAACAAATGTTATGAATCAACGAATGTCCGTATATCCGATGCCTCTCCGTTTTGAGGGAAAGATAGCAAAGAAGAAGCTCGCCATTGTCAACACCATAACCGCAAAATACTTAATCAAAAGTACGAAATGACCACCCCAACTGTTTTCATCGTTCTCCGGGAGCAAACACTTCCGAAAATCCGAACTCTCTACGGCTAACGCCAAGAACACAACCACTGACACGAAAGCATGCACGAAATCCACAAAACTCAGCTTGTATCTCCTTTTCTTGTCAGCCGTTAAGCCGGATTCCGGATCATAACCGTCGTTGGGACAGTCGTTGAGGATGTAGAGACCATTCGAGGTGGCAATTCCGTAGTAAATGCGGCCATCTTGGCCTACATATGAGTCGGTGAAGGAGGAGAAGAAGCAAGCCGCGGCGCAAAAGGAGATGAGGGAAATGGTGAGGAGTTTATTGGCGGGTTTATTGTTGCACTCGCCGCCATTGGAGAAAGACGGTAGTAGGGTTTCGAATATGAGGGCGGTTCCGGTGGGCAAGAGGTTGGCGAAGTTTCCGGCGGACGGTAGAGATCTAATGAACGACGCCTCCATTTCGTAATTTGGTCCGGAGTGGGGAAAGTTTGTATGTTAGATGAAGAAAGAGTGTTTTGTATGTTCTTCTATACGTAATGCATGCATGCGTGAGGATACGTTAGATGCGTCCTTATATACATTTCTTAAAGATATCGAGTTTTGTTTGGTGTCCTAATTAATATTAATATGTAATATTTATTTTGTTTAATAAATATATGTCTACACATTTTGTCAGAAGTAAAAAATCTATTTATATATACAAATTTTGATAACCCTTTTTTTTTATTTTAGAAGTTTTGATCTATTGGAACTTACCCCTTTGGCTAGTCGTTAATGGAATTGTAGTGCATCAAGATATTAAGTGGTGGTTAAGTTCGCTCGTATTTTTTTTTTTTTGAGTTTAGATCTTTAACAGTAAAAATACTTTTATGGAAGTGATATTTGTACAAAATTCGATGAGTTATATTTGCATCATTGCATGGCCGAAGATAATAATACCATAAACAAGTTGGGATTGAAAGAAAAAAACGATGAGACGATTTTGTTACGTCACACACATCTTAACTCATGACAAAAAATCCTTTTTGTTGTTGTAATTAATGCATAAATCATCACAGAAATGTTCGCATGCTTTGATATCACTTAATCTGCCAGAAGATAAAAAACAATTTTTTTTTTTTTTTTTGATAAACCCTATCGGCTGATCCGGTTGGCCTCGGTAGGAACGCACCGAGATTCTACAGAGTGGACTTCTCCCGATCCAGGTAGAATTGGGCCACCACACTGCCTGATCCGAGTTTGGAATACCTTCCGACTAATGCCAGGGGGTAGTCAGGCTGCCTGCATTTCTGACTACCAGGTAAACCAATTGGGCCAAGGCCCAACTGACAGACTTCCCAAACAAATGTGTTTTTTGTTTCCAGGGAGAATCGAACTCGGGTCTGGGAGTTTGATCACCCTTCACCAAAGCTTCCTCTGCCACTAGACCACAAAGGCTTAACAATTCTTAGTAGAAAAAACAATTCTACTAAAAAACAATTCTTAGTAGAAAAATATTTAAAAACGTAATAATTGGAGAATGTGCATGTTCTATGAAATTGAGTCCATTAAGCGATATCTTGCACGGTTGTACCTAACTTGTTTTGGTGACTCGATCTTACAAAGATACATCAAATTGTATAATACAGAATACATGTAACGTCTAATAATGGTCTTTTCTCTAAAAGATCAAACTTGTATTCTATATTATTATATAATATGACTAAATGAAAATATGTGTGAAAATAATGTAAGATCCTACTAACCTCAGAAATTATGACCCATGGTAAGCCACCTAGGACGATTGAACCCTTTCTCATCCATTGAACCATGAAGAAAACATTATAAATATTCATCTAATGAAATTTCCAGTTGCGAGATATAAACATTGATTGTGGTCATCTTAGAAACGGGAGCAAACGTTTCATTATTGTCTAATCCATCTTCTTGATGATTACCAAGAATAACAAGCCTCACTATGTACCATTAATTAAGTCATAATACTTGTACTTTAGCTTATATACTACCTGGCTGCGAAAGCCTTCTTATGGCCAATTAGTAGGCGTCCAAGTCCAGTGGCGGAGGTAGAACCAATTTCTATTGGGGTCAAAATTATATAAAACAAAAAATCACAAAATATAGTATTTCTCAAACAACTTTTCTATAATTATAAGCCCAAATAATAAGAGGTTTAAGTGACCTAAATTATTGTATTATTGATTTGGGTTCAATTTAAAAGGATTAAATATACTTTTAGCTTGAGAATGTGGGTTTTGGGTCTTCTTTTTAAGTAAAAACATAGGTATAAGTTAGATTTATAGGGGTCAATGTAAAATTTTCAAGGGTCAATCTCATATTTTCTCAAAATACATAAAGGATAATTAAATTTTGTTGGGGTCAGTTGACCCCCTTCCATAAAGCATGCCTCCGCCACTGTCCAAGTCTCATTGTTTATGAAGGCTTTAATCTCGACAGCCATTGCATCTTTCCATTCGGGATATTGCATAATTTATATGAAGGACCGTGGCCAAAATATCTTTGTAGGCATTTGAAAAAAATATCAATATAATTAGTTGTACATGCATGAAGAATTATGAGGAGATTGGAGCTAAAAGTGTGATATTTATCTCGGCTTAATTATGTTAAGATGCCTTCATTAAAAATAACGTTATGAGAAACAAAATATTCGTAAAGCTCCAAATCGAATACATGCCAACCGTTTGAAGTAAAATAATAACTGAGGAACAAGTATCTAGATATTCGACTTTGATACTATGTGAGAGTTATGAGCGGAATTCTTTCTCTAATTTGTATTGACAATTATCGACACACACACAACATGAGGTAAGTTTAGGATGAATCAAAAATCTAGACCTGGCATGCATAGGCCTAACTAAATCTTAGATTTCGATTTTGTAATTATTTTGTCAAGTTCGGTTCAGTTTCAATTGAGAATAGGTTTATCGAAATACATATTTCCTCCTAATAATCGGTTATTTTGGTGATGCGGATACTTCATCTAACAAAATTCAATCCGTGTTTAGTTTTGAAAATTCAACATACAAAAACAACAATGCATTGAGATTAATGCATAGCGGCGATGGCTGGCTTAGTTTTTGGCGTGTTCATCAGCTTCTCCGACATACTCGGCTGGCTTTGCTTGTACAGCTATTCGTTGCCGTTTTTCTTTTTTTTTGAATAAAAGTTGTGGTTAAAACTCATCGGATCTGCGTATTAGTAGTGGCGTTTGTGGCGATTCTCCACTCAAAAAGGTCTCTTTCTGACCTATCCTTTGGGTTTACAGTTTTCGGAAAACAATTAAACGATTTGCATTTACAGTCGAAGATTCAAAGTTCTTCCCTCAGTTTATTACTATTGCCTTTAGCTGTTTCTTTATGTTTAAGCTTTGATTGGTTTAGTTAACAGAGGTGGATTAATCGGAGAATAATTTTTGTTTTTGGAAAGCGGTCTTTTCCAAAAGAAGAAGCCTCAAACACTCTATATAGCAAAAAAAAAAGCTACAAAATACCATCTCGAACTTTATTGATTTTTAAATCGAAATTGTTGAGATGAGCGAAAGCACAAAACGTATTCAACTTTTCAGAAGTGTTGTGGCAGCTGAATATTATTTGCGATATGATGGTAGTTAAAATTTGTTTATTTTTCGTTCTTTATAGTGAAATTTTTTGATTTGATATTTTTAATGCTAGTTTTGTTCGAAGCCATCAAAAACATACAGAAATTGGAAGTTGATCTAACAATAGAGGAGAATAAATGTTTAGAAAAGGTACATGAGAATCTACTTAATGAGGCGATAAGGATAGTTAAACCCCTCGAAGATATGGATATGAGATATGAAGAAACAATCATTCTGGATGGTAATCAAACTATGATTAAAAGGTATTTGGAAGACAACTTGATAGATTGTCATAAAATATTTAAGGAGATTGAAAGGTTGGGTGTTTGCCTTGTTTGAGTTTAATACTCCTATGGTTATTTTTTTTCTAGAGATACGAGGTTCTTTTTATATGAATTAGATATGTAAACCAATGTTATACAAATATAAGGTATAATCTAAGAAATGTGAAAGGAAGATGGAAGGGATGAGGAGAACAACCTTTTTTTATGAATAATAAATATCATTGGAAATGATAAACAAGTTGAATTATAGAATAAAAAGGAAATTATTTGATAAAATTATTAAAAAGGGCCGATCAGCTTTCTCTCTCTAAATTTTTCAAAGAGAGAAAGCGATTTCCGGACATAGCTTTTTTTCTTTCCGGCATCGACGACGGTCTTCCGTTCTGTGATGGATGGCTCCTTTCTAGCATAATCCGATTTTTTAGCGGAGGTGGCTAGCTTATCTTCAGCATTGTCTTGCCTCATAGCGGTGATAGCTGACTCTTTTCCAGCATCAGCCGGCTTTTGTAGCGGCGGTGGTTGGCTTCTCTCTAGCATCGGTTGCTTCCATAGCAGTGATAGCTGGCTTAGTTTCCAGAATGTTTGTCAGCTTCTCCGACGTACTCGGCTGGCTCTGTTTATACGACTATCCTTTACCGTTTTTGTTTTCTTTGGAATAAAAGTTGTGGATAAAACTCGTCGGACCTGTGTATTAGTAGTGGCATTTGTGGCGATTCTCCACTCAAAAGGGTCTCGTTCCGGCCTATCCTTTGGGTTTGCAGTTTCAGAAAACAACTAAACGGTTTGCGTTTACAGTTGAAGATTCAAAGCTCTTTCCTCAGTTTATTACTATTGCCTTTAGCTGTTTCTTTATGTTTAAGCTTGGATTGGTTTAGTTAACAGAGGTGGATTAATCGGAGATCTTAATTTTCTTTTTGTTTTGTGTCGGATTTAAAATTTGATTCAAGCAAGCGATTGAAATTAATGGATCCGTGTTATATCTTCACTTCTGTTTTGTAGATGTCGGAGAATTACGGAAGAATCTATTTTCAATGTTGGTTAATATTAGTTTCAGTCTCATGTGTAATCATTAGCTTCAACGGCGAAGGATGATGACAAAAACTTTTTCTTTCCTCATGTTTAGACACATCCACGATGTTGACACGTGTCTTGAGATATTTTCTTTGGATCACATCTTCTTTTGAAGTGGTGCATATGGATGAACTCGTATTGAGCTTTGTTTTCCTAGTTTGTTTTTCCGTTAAGTGTTTGTTGACCCTTGTTTAATATTAGAGCTGTCAAAATGGGCTGTCCACGTCCATTAGCCCGGTCCAATATTGACCATTTTAATTATAGACAAATAGTGACCATGTCCATTAAGGACCATGCTCATTAACGCCCATGTCCAAATGGGCTGTCCATTGGTCACCACTAATACAAATTTTGAAAAACGCAAATTTCTGCAAAAGTATCAAATTCAATCCAAAAGTCTAAAACAAATATCCAAATAAACAACAATATATCAAATCCTAAAACAAATCATAGCAACAAAGTATCAAATCACTAAATTATATCTGATTTCGATTTTAAGTAACTTAGTAAATGACTAAATGAATTATGATTTTTCCCCAAATTTGATTTGACCTAACATTTTGAGTGTATTGGGCCGCCCATGTCCATGACGTCCAGTCCATTAACGTCCATGTCCATTAAAGACCATGCCCATGTCAAAATGGGCTTGTCAATGACCGGTCCATAAGGTATTGGACACAGACAGCCCATGGGCAGCCCGCCCATTTTGACAGCTCTATTTAATATGTTTCATCATTAAAATATCACTGGTGAAAAAAAAATGCATTATTGGTGTCAACACTACCGGTCGACTTTGAGATCTTTTGAAGATAAACATGACCTAATCATGGGTTTAAATCCTTCCAATATGGCAAAATGAAAAACTAATTTATCTCATTATGGTTCTGACACAAAAAACTATGGACAAAAGTTATAATACTTTCTTTAAAAAGAATTGTGGTTTCAATTAATTTGATTAACTTAGCATTGAGATAGCAGTGAAAAGTCTATCATTTCTAAAAATAAAATATTAAAATGGATAGTCTAAGGTTCTGTATGGTGATAGCGGATCGAGCGGTGCGGGATAAGCAAATTAAGTGGTGCGGTGCGGTGTGGTTTAACTACGGTTTATTGGAGAAAAACGCACTATGTGGAACAAGTGCAGTTAGTAAAAAATAAGCGGTACGAAATATGTTTGAATGGTAACTATCATAAATACGCTGCAGATATAATAATTATTAAAATTTTACTAATACTTTTTTAATATTTTGAGTGACAAATTTTTATTTTTTCCTATAGAATTTTGTTATTTTATAAAAATTAACCTACACAATTTATTTTAAATTTTTCTAAGCTTTTAAAACTGTATATATTATATGTGTATATATGTATGTAGATATAAATTGGCTCCGAATGGTGACAGCGGTTTGAGCGGTGCAGAACAGCGGTTTTAAAGATGCGGTGCGGTTTTACTGCGGTACGGTTCAAAAAAACGCATCATGCGGAACAAGTACGGTTGTTGCGGAATAAGCGGTGCGGGATAATGTTTGAATGGTGAAAAAACACAACAAGCGGTGCGGAACAAATATTTTAAATATATATTTTGTAAACTAAAAAAGATTAATGATATTAGTATATTTATTAATATAATGTTTAATTAAAGACTAAATATTTTTATATATTGTTTATAAATTTATATATATATATATATATATATATATAATCTAGTCTATATTAAATTTATGACTACCAAATTAAAAAAATATTAACCTGAAATATGATCTTTTTTTCCTAAATCTAATATCTATTTAATTTATGACCATTAAATAAAAAAAATAAGATACTCTCAATTGAGATTTGTAAATACTTAGTTAAATTTTTTTAATTTAAATACGCCAAATTGTAGATATACTTCTATTTACATCCTATATTTCCGATTAAGAAAATATTTTTTATTTGAAATTATACTTGAATTCAATTGTAATCTAGTCATCGGTTATTTTAATTTTTGTTTTAATTTAAGTGAATATTTTATACCAATCTTAAACGAAACTATACTTGTAACCAAACACATCTCATATTTTAACTCAATAGCATAAATAGTAAATAAAACAATTTTTTCAAATATTTTTTGAAATGTACTTCTAAAATAATATATAGATATATAAAAGCATTATAAATCATTCTCAAAATCTGTTCTCTGCATGATTAACAATTCGGTGTCGAATCTTCTTCTTCAAAGCTTTAGACCATGACCATGACCATGAACGTTCTTTTGCAGCTATAAGACCATGACCTTGCAGAAGAACTTCTGGTTTACTTCATTGAACATGTATTATTGGCTACTCCTTTAGAAGTCGCTATCCACATTAAAACCACTTCAACAGTGAGCGCATTAAAACCACTTCAACAGTGAACATATTAAGACCTGGGCAAAGCTATAGCCGAACTACATTGTTCTTTCAAATAGATTAAAACTTCATCGTCCCTATTTATTAAACCTTCATCGTCCCTATTAATTAGATTTCCTTACAATCTGATTAACTACTTCTCCGAACCCTTCTCTTCTCTTCACGTTTATCTTCTTCAATCCCTTCTCTTTTCTCTTCAATGGATTATGAAATGTTTTTTGCTATTTTTCTATTTCTTTGTTTGATTGGTATCTTTGTTTGTACAATCTTCTTAATCAATTCGATCTCTGTTTCCGCCCTCTCCACACTCTTCTCCAGAGGTGGAGATGTTCACTTCGCCACCTTGTAGAAGAATTGAGAGTAAGTTCTTTTGCAGCCACTTTTGACATGATTCTGGTTTCTTAGATTGATTCCTGAACTATCCCGTTGCTTTGTCTTGAAATCTTCCCTTTAGCTTTCTAGCTGAACGTGTTTTATGTATATTCCACAGAGAACCTGAAGGTTGGCATATCATAAAATGTTTGGTTTTTAGTTTTGATTTTTGGGTCTTATTTTGTTTTGACAGATGAATTTAAGCTTGGAATCGTCAATTGGGGGTTGAAAGATGTGTAGATGTGGTTTGCCTACAAAGATTGCCTACACGGTTTCTTTATGATATGTACACAGATAATTTTTTTTAAACTCCGTTTATTATGCACTTAATATCCCACCAAAATGCCCAACCACCTACATTCAAGTCGTTCTCCCCTATAAAAACGATATCCCACACACTTATTTATTCGCTCAACTTCTTTTAAAACTTCTTTCATTGATCAAGTGCAGAAATATTTCTAAACCTCCTGCGTGCAACATGCCTTTCCCCGCAACCCCTCCAGCCGAGATGTACCTTGCAATACAATTGCCAAACCCGATTAGCATCCTCGTAAACTACCTTCTAGTGAGCCAGACTCCCATCGAGAAACTCCGTCACTTGGTCAACGCAAGCGACGTCAACGCCATAGTGATGGACGAGTTCATGACTTGGCCGCACTTCGTTCAGCCAGATTCTCCCTTCCATGCCTACTTCAGCCTCTTCCTGGATAGGGGTGCGATCCCGGCGATATACCTTGAAGGTCTCCGGCAGGCCAACAACTTCCTAACCGTCGCCCACGGCCTAACACTACTCAACTCCGTCGCACCATCCGATCCGTATGCCTGTTTCGCGAATGGGTTGTTCCTTACCTGTACTGGTAACCATGTGGACTTCCTTCCAATCAGCGATATGTTCTGGGAGATGACCCCCACATTCGCGGCAGCTCACACAGTGGGAGAGCTGGTGATGTATCACATAAGCCAGCTTCACACCGAAGGACCTCATCTTTGGCAACGTTCATGGAGGTTTGTGCACACACCGGCATGTGTTGGCCTTTGCACGTACAGTGACGGCTGCAGAGGGTGTTTCTTTTACTGGTACGCGAGGGAGATGTGTATCTTCTATTAGATATAACTTTGATATGACGGATGAGGCATACAATTTTCCGGCTCATGTGTATGCTTCGGCTATATCTTACATGCAAACCACATCTACACATCTTTCGACCCCCAACTGACGATTCCGAGCTCAAATTCATATATCAAAACAAAATAAGGCCCAAAAATCAAAACTGAAAACCAAACATTTTATGATATGCCAACCTTGAGGTCGTGCGATTCAATATCGATTCCAAACGCCAAAATTTGGGAATCGCGATTCCAAAGATATTCCGCGGGATTCTAAGCACCACCATCGACGATTCCGTGCTTCGTAGGTGATGACTATATTACCGCACCAAATTTAAGTGGATTCGAGCCAAAATGAAACCCTAAAGCCCAATTTCTCGCTCTCTCTCTCTCTCTCTCTCTCTCTCTCTCTCTCTCTCTCTCTCTCTCTCTCTCTCTCTCTCTCTCTCTCTCTCTCTCTCTCTCTCTCTCTCTCTCTCTCTCTCTCTTCTGGATTGTAATAAAATTATTGAAAGAGACAATTAGATATATGAATGAAGTGAGAAATATGAAAGAAACTAGAGTGTTTTATATAAGAAAATTTATTTCTATTTGAGAGAGAAAAAATAATTAAATAAATAAAATCTATTAGTTACAGTACAAAACCACACATTTTTTTCCTTTACAAAACTTATTCATGCGGTTCACAGTTTTATGGCTCCGAATGATGACATCAAATTGGGCGGTGCGGGACAAGCAAATTGACTAGTGTGGTGCGGTTTAACTACGGTTCATAGAAGAGAAACGCATTATATATAACAAGTGTGGTTAGTGTGAAACAAGTGGTGCGGGATAATGTGTGAATGGTGAATATTATAAATATGGTGCGAATAAAATATGTACAAAATTTTGGCTAATTATTTTAATACTTTTAAGTTTCAGAATATATATTTTTTTGAATAAAATGTGTAAGTTTATGAAATACTATGATCGGACCCGGACGTACGTCCGGGGTTATGTGAACTTAGAATTTTTTGAATTAAAACATTAATGTAGTTCAGTTGTGTGTGTTTGTGTGGAAAACAAACTTCACATGATTATGTAATTGTGATTGTATTAGAGAGATGGTTTAATTGAAAATAAAAAATGGTAAACATAAGTAACATGTAGTGTTTGTAGTGTATGACTTAAAAGATAGTTGAAGTTTGGATGTAAAAAGAAAGAGTAAGATGTGATAATATGTTTCGTATTGGACATGTATACATTATAAAGATCCAATAAGCAATAAATAACTAATTTAAGTTAGGCCGATATATTTATTTAAATAAAAAAATTTTGTTGGGCTAAAAGTTTAATTAGCCCATTTAGTGTGAAAATGATAGAAACATTTAAACACAAATATAAACCTATCTATTATAAAAGTACGTTGTTTATGTGTTAAAGAAGTTAGCAAACTAAATATATTTACTATAATAGAATTTTAATATTACATAAACGAAATAAGTTCAACTAGTTTAATAGAAAAACATAAGAACAAATAATATAATGTTTTCTAATGAAAATACAAGTTAAATCCATTGGTAAGTAGAATGGATTCTCACACATTCTCCCCTTGAGACTTCTGTGTGGATGCTTCACTTGAATCATCTTTCTTCACCACATTGTCGAGATATTGACGACCAGCAAACTCGCATCTAAGATGATTAAAAAAAAACTATTAGTACAACCAAACGAAGTAAAGTTATACATAAGAATTATTGTATAACTAAAAGAAATTCTTTAACTATAAGAAACTCACAATGTTTTGTGATTTGTAAGACTTGAGTAAAGTGAATTCACTGAAATTTTACAAAATCTATAGACATTTGTTAAACATATATCACCTGCATTAAAGTTAATATGATTATTTTTAATATAATAGAAACAGATAACATCAATAAAATTGACAATAATTGTTTTAAACAAATATATAAGTACCTTCATGTTCAGCAATCCTCCAGAAACTCAAAACAACGAATACCGGAGTTTCCTTAATCATTTTATCATAACCATCCTCTACCCAATATTCTCTAATATCATTAACATCCTCTCCATACGAACGACAACTCAATGTCTCGTTTCTAAAATTAATTTTGTAACGGTAAAAGAAATTCATATAAAATAGACAATTAACACTTTCTAATAATATAGAAATTTACAATAGATTAAAACTTACTTTGGATCAAGAATAGTAAATGTTAGAACCGGAACTCCATCCTCAAGTTTGACTTCTGAAAAATCAATGAGTACTCCATACACATCGATAAAATTATTTAAAGTTTATTATCCATAGTTATAAAATTATTTAAAGTTTATTATCCATACACATCTATATTTCCGATTAAGAAAATATTTTTTATTTGAAATTATACTTGAATTCAATTGTAATCTAGTCATCGGTTTATTTTATTTTTGGTTTAATTTAAGTGAATATTTTATACCAATCTTAACCGAAACTATACTTGTAACCAAACACATCTCATATTTAAACTCAATGGCATAAATAGTAAATAAAACAATTTTTTCAAGTATTTTTTGAAATGTACTTTTAAAATAATATATAGATATATAAAAGCATTATAAATCATTCTCAAAATCCGTTCTCTGCATGATTACCAATTCGGTTTCGAATCTTCTTCTTCAAAGCTTTAGACCATGACCATGACCATGAACTTTCTTTTGCAGCCATACGACCATGACCTTGCAGAAGAACTTCTGGTTTACTTCATTGAACATGTATTATTGGCTACTCCTTTAGAAGTCGCTATCCACATTAAAACCATTTCAAAAGTGAACGCATTAAAACCACTTCAACAGTGAACATATTAAGACATGGGCAAAGCTATGGCCGAACTACATTGTTCTTTCAAATAGATTAAAAGTTTATCGTCCCTATTTATTAAACCTTCATCGTCCCTATTAATTAGATTTCCTTACAATCTGACTAACTACTTCTCCGAACCCTTCTCTTCTCTTCACGTTTATCTTCTTCAATCCCTTCTCTTTTCTCTTCAACGGATTATGAAATGTTCTTTGCTATTTTTCTATTTCTTTGTTTGATTGGTATCTTTGTTTGTACAATCTTCTTAATCAGATTAGTTTTTCTGTTTTGATCTCTGTTTCTGCCCTCTCAAAACTCTTCTCCAGAGGTGGAGATGTTCACTTCGCCACCTTGTAGAAGAATTGAGAGTAAGTTCTTTTGCAGCCACTTTTGACATGATTCTGGTTTCTTAGTTTGATTCGTGAACTATCCTGTTGATAATAATTTGTTGCTTTGTCTTGAAATCTTCCCTTTCTAGCTGAACGTGTTTTGTGTATATTCCACAGAGAACCTGAAGATTGGCATATCATAAAATGTTTGGTTTTTAGTTTTTATTTTTGGGTCTTATTTTGTTTTGAGAGATAAATTTGAGCTTGGAATTTTTAATTGGGGGTTGAAAGATGTGTAGATGTAGTTTGCCTGCAAAGATTGTCACATCGTGGAACGATAACAATCCGGGAAGAAGGTTGTCGGTTGTTTAAGGTTTGGTAGAGTCGATTGTGTTTACAATCCGAGAATGTTATGGCTTCCTGATACATTTGTGTTATTTGTGTAATCAGAAGCATAGGATTGATCACTTCGACTATTTTGAGTGGTTCAATGAAGGAGTGGTGGATGGATGGCCAAAAGAAGCATTGATTCGAGCTCGAGATCAAATTGGTGAGAAAGATAAAGTCATCAATCAACTAACTACCCAATTAATGGAACTTCGTTTGGAATTGGAGAAGCATGAAGTGGAGATCTCATCTGAAGGTAGTGAGGATGAGAACAATTTTGTGTAATCCGACCATAAGGTAGGATGGCTGAAATTTTTTTTGGGAAAGATATCTACCTCCAATGTATAAAAAGGTGTGAAATGCATATGTTATGTCTCTCTCCATTGCATAAGCAGGCGTAAAATACATTGGTCTAGTTTGTCGGCGTCAATATCTGCTTTTTCACATTTTTTTCAGCTTCTTGGGATCCAATTCGGGATTTTCCTTGAGGGATATTGGTAAGGAATTGGAATGTAATTCTTAGTATATGGTGGATAAATTTGTATTCCTTTTATGTTAGACAAAACTTAAGTTCGATTCATTACTATTGTGTTTGTGTAATCATAAGCGTAGGACTGATCACAACGACTATTTTGAGTGGTTCGATAAAGGAGTGGTGGATGGATGGCCAAAAGAAACATTGATTCGAGCTCGAAATGAAATTCGTGAGAAAGATAAAGTCATCAATCAACTAACTACTCAATTAATGGAACTTCGTTTGGAATTGGAGAAGCATGAAGTGGACATCTCATCTGAAGGTAGTGAGGATGAGAACAAGTCTGTGGAATCCGACCATAAGGTAGGATGGATGAAAAAGATTTTGGGAAAGATGTCTATCTCCAATGTATAAAAAGGTGTGAAATGCATCTGTTATGTCTATCTCTATTGCATAAGCACGCGTGAAATACATTGGTTTAGTTTGTCGGCGTCAATATCTGCTTCTTCACATTTTTCTCAGCTTCCAGTTTCTTAGCATATGGTGGATAAATTTGTATTCTTTTTATGTCAGACAAAACTTAAGTTCGATTCATTACTATTGTGTTTGTGTAATCATAAGAGTAGGACTGATCACAGCGACTATTTAGAGTGGTTCGATAAAGGAGTGGTGGATGGATGGCCTAAAGAAACATTGATTCGCGCTCGAGATGAAATTCGTGAGAAAGATAAAGTCATCAATCAACTAACTACTCAGTTAATGGAACTTCGTTTGGAATTGGAGAAGCATGAAGTGGAGATCTCATCTGAAGGAAGTGAGGATGAGAACAAGTCTGTGGAATCCGACCATAAGGTAGGATGGATGAAAAAGATTTTGGGAAAGATGTCTATCTCCAATGTATAAAAAGGTGTGAAATGCATCTGTTATGTCTCTCTCTATTGCATAAGCACGCGTGAAATGCATTGGGTTAGTTTGTCGGCGTCAATATTTGCTTCTTCACCTTTTTTTCAGCTTCCAGTTTCTTAACATATGGTGGATAAATTTGTAATCCTTTTATGTTAGACAAAACTTAAGTTCGATTCATTACTATTGTGTTTGTGTAATCATAAGCGTAGGAATGATCACAACGACTATTTTGAGTGGTTCGATAAAGGGGTGGTGGATGGATGGCCAAAAGAAACATTGATTCGAGCTCGAGATGAAATTCGTGAGAAAGATAAAATCATCAATAACCTAACTACTCATTTAATGGAACTTCGTTTGGAATTGGAGAAGCATGAAGTGGAGATCTCATCTGAAGGTAGTGAGGATGAGAACAATTCTGTGTAATCCGACCATAAGGTAGGATGGATGAAAAATATTTTGGGGAAGATGTCTATCTCCAATATATAAAAAGGTGTGAAATGCATCTGTTAAGTCTCTCTCCATTGCATAAGCAGGCGTGAAATGCATTGGTTTAGTTTATCGGCGTCAATATCAGCTTCTTCACATTTTTCTCAGCTTCCAGTTTTTTAGCATATGGTGGATAAATTTGTATTCCTTTTATGTTAGACGAAACTTAAGTTCGATTCATTACTATTGTGTTTGTGTAATCATAAGCGTAAGACTGATCACAGCGACTATTTTGAGTGGTTCGATAAAAAAGGGGTGGATGGATGGCCAAAAGAAACATTGATTCGAGCTCGAGATGAAATTCGTGAGAAAGATAAAGTCATCATTCAACTAACTACTCAATTAATGGAACTTCGTTTGGAATTGAAGAAGCATGAAGTGGAGATCTCATCTGAAGGTAGTGAGGATTAGAACAATTCTGTGGAATCCGAACATAAGGTTGGATGGATGAAAAAGATTTTGGGAAAGATGTCTATCTCCAATGCATAGGAAGGTGTGAAATGTATTTGCTATGTCTCTCTCCATTGCATAAGCAGGCGTGAAATGCATTGGTTTAGTTTGTCGGCGTCAATATCTGCTTCTTCACATTTTTTTCAGCTTCCAGTTTCTTAGCATATGGTGGATAAAGTTGTATTCCTTTTATGTTAGACAAAACTGAAGTTCGATTCATTACTATTGTGTTTGTGTAATCATAAGCGTAGGACTGATCACATCGACTATTTTGGGTGGTTCGATAAAGGAGTGGTGGATGGTTGGCCAAAAGAAACATTGATTCGAGCTCGAGATGAAATTCGTGAGAAAGATAAAGTCATCATACAACTAACTACTCAGTTAATGGAACTTCGTTTGAAATTGGAGAAGCATGAAGTGGAGATCTCATCTGAAGGTAGTGAGGATGAGAACAATTCTGTGTAATCCGACCATAAGGTAGGATGGATGAAAAAGATTTTGGGAAAGATGTTTATCTCCAATGTATAAAAAGGTGTGAAATGCATCTATTATGTCTCTCTCCATTGCATAAGCAGGCGTGAAATGCATTGGTTTAGTTTGTCGGCATCAATATCTGCTTCTTCAAATTTTTCTCAGCTTCCAGTTTCTTATTATATGGTGGATAAATTTGTATTCCTTTTATGTTAAACAAAACTTAAGTTCGATTCATTACTATTGTGTTTGTGTAATCATAAGCGTAGGACTGATCACAGCGACTATTTTGAGTGGTTCGATAAAGGAGTGGTGGATGGATGGCCAAAAGAAACATTGATTCGAGCTCGAGATGAAATTCGTGAGAAAGATAAAGTCATCAATCATTTAACTACTCAGTTAATGGAACTTCGTTTGGAATTGGAGAAGCATGAAGTGGAGATCTCATCTGAAGGTAGTGAGGATGAGAACAATTCTGTGTAATCCGACCATATGGTAGGATGGATGAAAAAGATTTTGGGAAAGATGTCTATCTCCAATATATAAAAAGGTGTGAAATGCATCTGTTATGTCTCTCTCCATTGCATAAACACGCGTGAAATGCATTGGTTTAGTTTGTCGGCATCAATATCAGCTTCTTCACATTTTTTTCAGCTTCCAGTTTCTTAGCATATGGTGGATAAATTTGTATTCCTTTTATGTTAGACAAAACTTAAGTTCGATTCATTACTATTGTGTTTGTGTAATCATAAGCGTAGGACTGATCACAACGACTATTTAGAGTGGTTCGATAAAAAGGGGTGGATGGATGGCTAAAAGAAACATTGATTCGAGCTCGAGATGAAATTCGTGAGAAAGATAAAGTCATCAATCAACTAACTACTCAATTAATGGAACTTCGTTTGGAATTGGAGAAGCATGAAGTGGAGATCTCATCTGAAGGTAGTGAGGATGAGAAGAATTTTGTGGAATCCAACCATAAGGTTGGATGGATGAAAAAGATTTTGGGAAAGATGTCTATCTCCAATGCATAGGAAGGTGTGAAATGCATCTGCTATGTCTCTCTCCATTGCATAAGCAGGCGTGAAATGCATTGGTTTAGTTTGTCGGCGTCAATATATGCTTCTACACATTTTTCTCAGCTTCCAGTTTCTTAGCATATGGTGGATAAATTTGTATTCCTTTTATGTTAAACAAAACTTAAGTTCGATTTATTACTATTGTGTTTGTGTAATCATAAGCGTAGGACTGATCACAGCGACTATTTTGAGTGGTTCGATAGAAAAGGGGTGGATGGATGGCCAAAAGAAACATTGATTCGAGCTCGAGATGAAATTCGTGAGAAATATAAAGTCATCAATCAACTAACTACTCAATTAATGGAACTTCGTTTGGAATTGGAGAAGCATGAAGTGGAGATCTCATCTGAAGGTAGTGAGGATGAGAACAATTCTGTGGAATCCGACCATAAGGTTGGATGGATGAAAAAGATTTTGGGAAAGATGTCTATCTCCAATGCATAGGAATGTGTGAAATGCATATGCTATGTCTCTCTCCATTGCATAAGCAGGCGTGAAATGCATTGGTTTAGTTTGTCGGCGTCAATATATGCTTCTTCACATTTTTCTCAGCTTCCAGTTTCTTAGCATATTTTGGATAAATTTGTATTCCTTTTATGTTAGACAAAACTTAAGTTCGATTCATTACTATTGTGTTTGTGTAATCATAAGCGTAGGACTGATCACAACGACTATTTTGAGTGGTTCGATAAAGGAGTGGTAGATGGATGGCCAAAAGAAACATTGACTCGAGCTCGAAATGAAATTCGTGAGAAAGATAAAGTCATCAATCATTTAACTACTCAGTTAATGGAACTTCGTTTGGAATTGGAGAAGCATGAAGTGGAGATCTCATCTGAAGGTAGTGAGGATGAGAACAATTCTGTGTAATCCGACCATATGGTAGGATGGATGAAAAAGATTTTGGGAAAGATGTCTATCTCCAATATATAAAAAGGTGTGAAATGCATCTGTTATGTCTCTCTCCATTGCATAAACACGCGTGAAATGCATTGGTTTAGTTTGTCGGCATCAATATCAGCTTCTTCACATTTTTTTCAGCTTCCAGTTTCTTAGCATATGGTGGATAAATTTGTATTCCTTTTATGTTAGACAAAACTTAAGTTCGATTCATTACTATTGTGTTTGTGTAATCATAAGCGTAGGACTGATCACAACGACTATTTAGAGTGGTTCGATAAAAAAGGGGTGGATGGATGGCCAAAAGAAACATTGATTCGAGCTCGAGATGAAATTCGTGAGAAAGATAAAGTCATCATTCAACTAACTACTCAATTAATGGAACTTCGTTTGGAATTGAAGAAGCATGAAGTGGAGATCTCATCTGAAGGTAGTGAGGATTAGAACAATTCTGTGGAATCCGAACATAAGGTTGGATGGATGAAAAAGATTTTGGGAAAGATGTCTATCTCCAATGCATAGGAAGGTGTGAAATGTATTTGCTATGTCTCTCTCCATTGCATAAGCAGGCGTGAAATGCATTGGTTTAGTTTGTCGGCGTCAATATCTGCTTCTTCACATTTTTTTCAGCTTCCAGTTTCTTAGCATATGGTGGATAAAGTTGTATTCCTTTTATGTTAGACAAAACTGAAGTTCGATTCATTACTATTGTGTTTGTGTAATCATAAGCGTAGGACTGATCACATCGACTATTTTGGGTGGTTCGATAAAGGAGTGGTGGATGGTTGGCCAAAAGAAACATTGATTCGAGCTCGAGATGAAATTCGTGAGAAAGATAAAGTCATCATACAACTAACTACTCAGTTAATGGAACTTCGTTTGATATTGGAGAAGCATGAAGTGGAGATCTCATCTGAAGGTAGTGAGGATGAGAACAATTCTGTGTAATCCGACCATAAGGTAGGATGGATGAAAAAGATTTTGGGAAAGATGTTTATCTCCAATGTATAAAAAAGTGTGAAATGCATCTATTATGTCTCTCTCCATTGCATAAGCAGGCGTGAAATGCATTGGTTTAGTTTGTCGGCATCAATATCTGCTTCTTCAAATTTTTCTCAGCTTCCAGTTTCTTATTATATGGTGGATAAATTTATATTCCTTTTATGTTAAACAAAACTTAAGTTCGATTCATTACTATTGTGTTTGTGTAATCATAAGCGTAGGACTGATCACAGCGACTATTTTGAGTGGTTCGATAAAAAAGGGGTGGATGGATGGCCAAAAGAAACATTGATTCGAGCTCGAGATGAAATTCGTGAGAAAGATAAAGTCATCAATCAACTAACTACTCAATTAATGGAACTTTGTTTGGAATTGGAGAAGCATGAAGTGGAGATCTCATCTGAAGGTAGTGAGGATGAGAAGAATTCTGTGGAATCCGACCATAAGGTTGGATGGATGAAAAAGATTTTGGGAAAGATGTCTATCTCCAATGCATAGGAATGTGTGAAATGCATATGCTATGTCTCTCTCCATTGCATAAGCAGGCGTGAAATGCATTGGTTTAGTTTGTCGGCGTCAATATCTGCTTCTTCACATTTTTCTCAGCTTCCAGTTTCTTAGCATATTGTAGATAAATTTGTATTCCTTTTATGTTAGACAAAACTTAAGTTCGATTCATTACTATTGTGTTTGTGTAATCATAAGCGTAGGACTGATCACAACGACTATTTTGAGTGGTTCGATAAAGGAGTGGTGGATGGATGGCCAAAAGAAACATTGATTCGAGCTCGAGATGAAATTCGTGAGAAAGATAAAGTCATCAATCATTTAACTACTCAGTTAATGGAACTTCGTTTGGAATTGGAGAAGCATGAAGTGGAGATCTCATCTGAAGGTAGTGAGGATGAGAACAATTCTGTGTAATCCGACCATATGGTAGGATGGATGAAAAAGATTTTGGGAAAGATGTCTATCTCCAATATATAAAAAGGTGTGAAATGCATCTGTTATGTCTCTCTCCATTGCATAAACACGCGTGAAATGCATTGGTTTAGTTTGTCGGCATCAATATCAGCTTCTTCACATTTTTTTCAGCTTCCAGTTTCTTAGCATATGGTGGATAAATTTGTATTCCTTTTATGTTAGACAAAACTTAAGTTCGATTCATTACTATTGTGTTTGTGTAATCATAAGCGTAGGACTGATCACAACGACTATTTAGAGTGGTTCGATAAAAAAGGGGTGGATGGATGGCCAAAAGAAACATTGATTCGAGCTCGAGATGAAATTCGTGAGAAAGATAAAGTCATCAATCAACTAACTACTCAATTAATGGAACTTCGTTTGGAATTGGAGAAGCATGAAGTGGAGATCTCATCTGAAGGTAGTGAGGATGAGAAGAATTTTGTGGAATCCGACCATAAGGTTGGATAGATGAAAAAGATTTTGGGAAAGATGTCTATCTCCAATGCATAGGAAGGTGTGAAATGCATCTGCTATGTCTCTCTCCATTGCATAAGCAGTCGTGAAATGCATTGGTTTAGTTTGTCGGCGTCAATATATGCTTCTACACATTTTTCTCAGCTTCCAGTTTCTTAGCATATGGTGGATAAATTTGTATTCCTTTTATGTTAAACAAAACTTAAGTTCGATTTATTACTATTGTGTTTGTGTAATCATAAGCGTAGGACTGATCACAGCGACTATTTTGAGTGGTTGGATAAAAAAGGGGTGGATGGATGGCCAAAAGAAACATTGATTCGAGCTCGAGATGAAATTCGTGAGAAATATAAAGTCATCAATCAACTAACTACTCAATTAATGGAACTTCGTCTGTAATTGGAGAAGCATGAAGTGGAGATCTCATCTGAAGGTAGTGAGGATGAGAACAATTCTGTGGAATCCGACCATAAGGTTGGATGGATGAAAAAGATTTTGGGAAAGATATCTATCTCCAATGCATAGGAATGTGTGAAATGCATATGCTATGTCTCTCTCCATTGCATAAGCAGGCGTGAAATGCATTGGTTTAGTTTGTCGGCGTCAATATCTGCTTCTTCACATTTTTCTCAGCTTCCAGTTTCTTAGCATATTTTGGATAAATTTGTATTCCTTTTATGTTAGACAAAACTTAAGTTCGATTCATTACTATTGTGTTTGTGTAATCATAAGCGTAGGACTGATCACAACGACTATTTTGAGTGGTTCGATAAAGGAGTGGTGGATGGATGGCCAAAAGAAACATTGATTCGAGCTCGAAATGAAATTCGTGAGAAAGATAAAGTCATCAATCATTTAACTACTCAGTTAATGGAACTTCGTTTGGAATTGGAGAAGCATGAAGTGGAGATCTCATCTGAAGGTAGTGAGGATGAGAACAATTCTGTGTAATCCGACCATATGGTAGGATGGATGAAAAAGATTTTGGGAAAGATGTCTATCTCCAATATATAAAAAGGTGTGAAATGCATCTGTTATGTCTCTCTCCATTGCATAAACACGCGTGAAATGCATTGGTTTAGTTTGTCGGCATCAATATCAGCTTCTTCACATTTTTTTCAGCTTCCAGTTTCTTAGCATATGGTGGATAAATTTGTATTCCTTTTATGTTAGACAAAACTTAAGTTCGATTCATTACTATTGTGTTTGTGTAATCATAAGCGTAGGACTGATCACAACGACTATTTAGAGTGGTTCGATAAAAAAGGGGTGGATGGATGGCCAAAAGAAACATTGATTCGAGCTCGAGATGAAATTCGTGAGAAAGATAAAGTCATCAATCAACTAACTACTCAATTAATGGAACTTCGTTTGGAATTGGAGAAGCATGAAGTGGAGATCTCATCTGAAGGTAGTGAGGATGAGAAGAATTTTGGAATCCGACCATAAGGTTGGATGGATGAAAAAGTTTTTGGGAAAGATGTCTATCTCCAATGCATAGGAAGGTGTGAAATGCATCTGCTATGCCTCTCTCCATTGCATAAGCAGTCGTGAAATGCATTGGTTTAGTTTGTCGGCGTCAATATATGCTTCTACACATTTTTCTCAGCTTCCAGTTTCTTAGCATATGGTGGATAAATTTGTATTCCTTTTATGTTAAACAAAACTTAAGTTCGATTTATTACTATTGTGTTTGTGTAATCATAAGCGTAGGACTGATCACAGCGACTATTTTGAGTGGTTGGATAAAAAAGGGGTGGATGGATGGCCAAAAGAAACATTGATTCGAGCTCGAGATGAAATTCGTGAGAAATATAAAGTCATCAATCAACTAACTACTCAATTAATGGAACTTCGTTTGTAATTGGAGAAGCATGAAGTGGAGATCTCATCTGAAGGTAGTGAGGATGAGAACAATTCTGTGGAATCCGACCATAAGGTTGGATGGATGAAAAAGATTTTGGGAAAGATATCTATCTCCAATGCATAGGAATGTGTGAAATGCATATGCTATGTCTCTCTCCATTGCATAAGCAGGCGTGAAATGCATTGGTTTAGTTTGTCGGCGTCAATATCTGCTTCTTCACATTTTTCTCAGCTTCCAGTTTCTTAGCATATTTTGGATAAATTTGTATTCCTTTTATGTTAGACAAAACTTAAGTTCGATTCATTACTATTGTGTTTGTGTAATCATAAGCGTAGGACTGATCACAACGACTATTTTGAGTGGTTCGATAAAGGAGTGGTGGATGGATGGCCAAAAGAAACATTGATTCGAGCTCGAAATGAAATTCGTGAGAAAGATAAAGTCATCAATCATTTAACTACTCAGTTAATGGAACTTCGTTTGGAATTGGAGAAGCATGAAGTGGAGATCTCATCTGAAGGTAGTGAGGATGAGAACAATTCTGTGTAATCCGACCATATGGTAGGATGGATGAAAAAGATTTTGGGAAAGATGTCTATCTCCAATATATAAAAAGGTGTGAAATGCATCTGTTATGTCTCTCTCCATTGCATAAACACGCGTGAAATGCATTGGTTTAGTTTGTCGGCATCAATATCAGCTTCTTCACATTTTTTTCAGCTTCCAGTTTCTTAGCATATGGTGGATAAATTTGTATTCCTTTTATGTTAGACAAAACTTAAGTTCGATTCATTACTATTGTGTTTGTGTAATCATAAGCGTAGGACTGATCACAACGACTATTTAGAGTGGTTCGATAAAAAAGGGGTGGATGGATGGCCAAAAGAAACATTGATTCGAGCTCGAGATGAAATTCGTGAGAAAGATAAAGTCATCAATCAACTAACTACTCAATTAATGGAACTTCGTTTGGAATTGGAGAAGCATGAAGTGGAGATCTCATCTGAAGGTAGTGAGGATGAGAAGAATTCTGTGGAATCCGACCATAAGGTTGGATGGATGAAAAAGATTTTGGGAAAGATGTCTATCTCCAATGCATAGGAAGGTGTGAAATGCATCTGCTATGTCTCTCTCCATTGCATAAGCAGGCGTGAAATGCATTGGTTTAGTTTGTCGGCGTCAATATATGCTTCTACACATTATTCTCAGCTTCCAGTTTCTTAGCATATGGTGGATAAGTTTGTATTCCTTTTATGTTAGACAAAACTTAAGTTCGATTCATTAACCTGAAATTTTTATTTTTTCCTATAGAATTTTGTTATTTTATAAAATTTGTTTTTACAATTGACTTATAAAATAGACAATTAATACTTTCTAATTGTATAGAAATCTACAATAGATTAAAACTTACTTTGGATCAAGAAGAGTAAATGTTCATATGAATATTTTTAATATAATAGAAATAGATAGCATCAATAAAATTGACAATAATTGTTTTTAACAAATATATAAGTACGTTCATGTTCAGCAATCCTCCAGAAACTAAAAAAAACGAATACCGTGTTTTCTTTAATCATTTTATCATAACCACCCTCTATCCAATATTCTCTAATATCATTAATATCCTCTCCGTATGAACGACAACTCAATGTCTCGTTTTTAAAATTAATTTTGTAACGGTAAAAGAAATTCATATAAAATAGACAATTAACACTTTCTAATTGTATAGAAATTTACAATAGATTAAAACTTACTTTGGATCAAGAAGAGTAAATGTTAGAACCGGAACTCCATCCTCAAGTTTGACTTATGAAAAATCAATGAGTACTCCATACACATCTATAAAATTATTTAAAGTTTATTATCCATAATTATAAAATTATATAAAGTTTATTATCCATACACATCTATATTTCCGATTAAGAAAATATTTTTTATTTGAAATTATACTTGAATTCAATTGTAATCTAGTCTTCGGTTTATTTTAATTTTTGGTTTAATTTCAGTGAATATTTTATACCAAACTTAACCGAAACTATACTTGTCACCAAACACATCTCATATTTTAACTCAATGGCATAAATAGTAAATAAAACAATTTTTCTAAGTATTTTTTGAAAAGTACTTCTAAAATAATATATAGATATATAAAAAAATTATAAATAATTCTCAAAATCCGAGTAAATAGAAATAAACTTACAAATCAAGATGTTCTCGTTAAGCCCATCTTCCGGAGAAATGTTTTCAAAACTGGTGATATCCAAATATATATCATCAGACAATGATGCACACCTAGTCATGATGGAGTAATTCATCAATGACATTTTGAAAGCATGCTTCGTAGCCCTAAACTTTCCAGTGGATTTGCTCAATTGAAAGTTTTCAATTGTCCGCCACTCGCCAGCAACAATTGTTCTAGCAAACTTGTTAACTTGCTGCTTCTTCACAGTCGCATGGATTAGAGTTCCCTGAAATTTTTATTAACATTCAGTATTAGTCGTAAAGAACAATAAGTAAAAGAAAAATAAAATTATAAGATAAACTACTTACTTCAACATCAGCAAGGATAATTTCTAGAGTTTCACCGGTGTACGCAGTGTACTATTTCCAAGTGTGAACAATTATCACTTGAACCCTCCAGCTCGTTTTGAAAGGCTTGATCATTGCAAGACTCGTGAAAGCATTGGCGGCCATATTGAAAATGGGAATTTAAATTAATATTGTAATTTTTTTGCTACTCGTAGGATGTTATATGCATACGCTACTCATCACTATTTATAGTACTATAGATGCCCTAGGTCGAATATTCTTGTTTATGCGGAAATGGTATTGTGTATTCAAATTTTTTCCACCCAAAATGATTTGGAAATCATTTAGCAAAGATGCGATAAACGATCAAAATTTTAAATAAGATTTTACCGGTAATCTTCAAATTATGATCCTGTTTCCTAATTTATAAATGACATGTGGAAATATAAATATTTTTGGAATATTTTCTAGTCGATCATATCTATATTTTAGGGAACGTTTATATTGTTATTATCTCCAAATTACTTGATGAGAAATCCGCGCGATTAGAAATATTTGATAGTTAATTACTATATTTTAGGAAAGGCTAATATTTTGTTTACTTGTTATATTACGGTTTAGTATTTATGCGAAATATATGGAATTAGGATTTGAATGTTTGAATTACTCGAACAAATCCATATATTTTATAGAAACTACTTAGATACTCGGATATCTATAATTAATACGAAATTCATTTTTGGTAACTATATATGTGTGAGATTATTTATATAAATATATAAATACACGTAGACAATCCTCATTCCGAATATGTAAACCGCTAACGGAACGGATTAGAACAATATCCAAATAAAACCTTATTAATCTCACGTTAAAAAAAAAATTAGAAGCTAATTAGGTGTGTTTGGATACACCCTCTATAGTAAAGGTAAAAATGGAATTTGTTTTTAAAACTATAGGTTAAAATCACGTTTGTGCTGCCGCTTTAATATAATAGATTTTTTGTCTGAATTTTTTTCAAATTTTTGTATTAAGAAAAAAAATAATAAAAAATAAGTGCACCTTAACCACACCTAAATGGAGAGACATCAAATGCACCATGCGTTTACCAACATATTAACCACACTTGCTTATTTATAATTTTTTAATATTTTCGGTTTTTTTAATTCAAAGTTTTACTACCTGTTAAAATTGGATTGAATGATGACATTTTTAGTAACCACACCCTTCTGTGTAATAAATGTATCCCCCATTCATAGCCTATGACACAATTTTGCACCGCACTTTTTATTTATTTATTTATTTTGAATTGAAAATGAGTATGTGTTAGAGTGTGTAAATGGTGACAGTTTTTTGAACCGCACCATAAACCACCAGTTCCGCGTCCTCTATTCAATACCATTACATTGAATACGCACCTTAAAAACATGAACCACAACATAAATGCTGCTTATTTTTTACCACATGCGTTTCAGCTAAACTCTTTGTATTTTTGAAACGCACTTGCTTTAGTATTATTTTATTATTGTTTATTGATAAGACATATATACTACGTTGATGAATGTCAATGCTGACTTAATAATGGAAACGCCTTGATCCGCAGTGTACCGTGCTCTCCATTCACAACCTAAGACGTAGTTCTAGTTTATTTTGTACCCTGAGGGTAGAAAGAAAAATAGTATAGTATATTTTTGATTATGAAAAAAATATGTATATGATAATATTATACAAACGTGGTCCTTTTTTTTATTAATTGACAATGAACAAATGTGTGGTTCTTTATTTATGTCATTTTAAGGCTTGATTGGTTCTTCCACTACCCTTCGAACGCTATCTTTGCGGACAGTTCCTGTTGTAAATGTTTAAAACCAATCATAAAAAAATGTTTTAAACCTCTCTGGATCGCTTTAAAGCGCTCGAAATCGCGAGTTTTAAAAGTGTTTTTCCGCAAACATTTATTGTTTCGGACGGTAGGGTTGGCAAAATATTTTTTTACCAAACCCTATATATTTATAAAAACATATACACAAACAACAAATAAACTAAAAAAAATATTATCAAACCATATATATATTAACGTTAGTTCTCAAACCCTAATTTATTTGGGAGTATGCATAAACTAACCATGAAATATAAAAGAATTAAGAAACTAATTAATTTTCAACAACATTAGATTGTCAGGAAGGCTATGTAAATTACACTTCCAACCTTTGTACATTCTCTCTCTATTTCTTTCTTTGAATTTTGTTTTTTCTTCAGATTTCATGTTATTTTTATTTGATACATGTCATTTAATTAAATTACCAGCATATGTTTGTCTTTAATATTTTTCTCCGCCGCCATAGTTTTTGTCTATCATCAGATCTTTTCCCCCATCACCTTCTTTGCTTCCATCTCCGTCACGATGGCCACTACCATTGTATTGAGCTCAACCACTACCGCATCTACTAGATCTGTAACTTCATGCGTTCATGAACCTCGACCACCACCACCTCCATAGCCATTATCATCACTGGATCCTCTGCTTTTATCGTGACTCGATTTCAATACCTTGAAGGCTCTCACTCCACCGTTGACATCAACATCTCCTTCACATCTACTGGTATCAATCAACTTAATATAATGACTAATCAACAACCATCAAACTCTCTTCCATCGGTATCTACATAAGTTCCTACGAAATCATATTGATATTATTTTATTTAACAAGATATTCTTTCATATGACATGCTATTTTTTTTAATGACATGCTATTATTTCTCAACACTATATTTTCTGAAATGGCAAGCTATTGTTTTTTTAACAAACTATATTTTTTGAAAACACTGTAGTTTTCACAAATTCTAAGCTATTTTAATGTTTTTCTTTAGATCTCGTGTTAGTTTTATTTGATACATGTACTTTATTAAAATTACCATCATATGTTGGTCTTCTGTAAATCTCTGACCGCCCCTACCAGAGAGCACCCACGTCTTCTCTCGGACCCGTGGACTCCACTCCTGTTCGACGGTCGGTCTGTTACGTCCGGGAGGCTTTAAAGACTTGTTCAACAACCTTACAAATCACCACATGATCTTTTCTTGTGTTTTTTCCTCACTCACACAGCTCCGACAAACACTTTTCGGAAGGTCACCCATCCTGAAATTGGTCAAACTCAAGCATGCTTAACCTTGGAGTTCTCTCAGAACAGTTGACCGAAAAGATAAGTGCATTTTGGTGAAACAGGTGGCCAAATCAATTCTATTAAACCTCTCCGCATGCACCACCATATTCCTGAAACCGGGGTGTTACATCTTCTTTCTTTATCTCTGCAGCCAAAGTTCTTGTCTCTTATTGGATCTCCTCCACCATCACCTCTTCTGCTACCATCTTCTTCACAGTGGCTACTACCATTATATTATCCTCAACAACCACCACTGGCGGACTCACTTGAGAAGAAGGGGTGTCACTTGAACCACCTTAAATTATATAATTAAAAAATTTCAGCTTAGATCTATAAGATTATTTGGCTAATTTGGTTAAAGTTAATAATATTGACCCCCTTAACATGAGTTCAACTTCATCTAACTCCTATTCCTATTCATTTTTTTTC